AAAAGGCTTAATCCGCCTTTCCCCCCCCCCCTCCCCCCTACAATTGGTTGATAGTCAGGAATTTGTAGGAATGTAGTATTTATGTACATCACTGATAATAAATGACACCACTGAATAGTGTATTCATATTCCCAGAAGTGAGGATATAATTCTGTCCCCACTTTTGAGTTCAAGATGAGATCACATGCCAACAGGACACTAATGCACACTCCAGTTAACATGTGTATTTAAAAAATGAAATGAATACAGAAATTATGGGTAAAAAATGTAAATGTATATGACATGCATTATTTTAGAGCGAGGCATTTAGCTAGTGTTTTAACAGTGTAGTGTGTTGAGATAAAAATCAGAGTAGACCCACTGGATGGGCAGGCTGCCAGCTGATGAGATTGATCCAGACACTGTATCTGGTCAGCCTTAATGGCATGCTTCCCAAATCAACAGAAAATGAAAAAAAAGAGAAGTGAGTTACAATTTTAGAGTATCATACTTTTTTTGTACATTTCTCAGACACTAGGATAGTCTCCAGGATCGTGACTCAAATGTCTATGCACTTCCAAGATCAGCACTTTTGCTGAATCCCAAGTGTGCAAATAATGTTGCAATATTAAACACCAAAATATAAAGAAAACCACAAAGAAACCCTTTTGGTTTGCTAAACTAATAGTAATAAAAAATCTGCTCCAAGCTGTAAAGTTCCTTTGCAGTTTAGATGTAGCATAACAATTTTAGAACATTTATCTTACTTGAGAAAGTACAATCACTGTAGTACTCTAACATGAGTACAGTGGCTGATTTAGCTTAGAACAACTTGGAAAATATGTATAACAACAAATTTCCAAATAGTGAAAAAATGTAAGTATACTAGTAAAAATTTTTGGGTGCCAATCAGGTCATTTTGATTGTATAACAACATCACCAACCATTTGCTCATTCTCCCAGTCTATTCCAGAGGTAACATTTTTGAGACAACCGAGCCTCAGACAGACATGACATATTGCACATATTTTTTGCTGAAAGAGTGGCAGATTCTAATTCCCTGCATCATCTGTCTCTCAGGAAGGAGGAACTGTGTGCTGCTTTTCATTTTGGCATCACCACTCTCACTGCAACTCCTAGTTTCCTGGACACAGACAGAACAACAACATGTCGACACTTACAGCTGGAGTTGAAACCATCAGGAATTTGCTTTCCCTAAGCCTCACAAGTAGTTATGCTGCATCTTTTTGCAAGGTTTAAAAGTAGGGCATCTGAATTACACACAAGACTATCCCTAAATCCTCATGCAAGGGTATGGAGCCTGCCACCGTCTTTTCATACTTAAAAAACATGCTTCATTCAAAGACACTTTAGTTTCTCAGGTTTTGGGGTTCTAAACTATAATCAGCACTTCATTAAAAAAAATACCAAGGACTTTTTATTCAGCCAATTGCCATGTTTATTGCACTATGGTGGTTACTTAGTACAACATCAATAAATGGCCACTTGTAGAGGGACAGACAGAATTCTGCTTGTGGACGGAAGTTATAGTTTAACGGGATAAACCTTTATCCCTCTATTATGCTTTTGGAGCAAGATCAAGTTTTTTTACCCCCAGCTATTATGCCTTCAGAATGAAATGAATTTTTTAAAAGAAAAGAAAAGGAAAAAGGATAAAAATGAGGGAATCAGGTAAAAAGCTAAACTCAGTGAGAGGCTTTGTGAGTTTAAGTATTTGTTTACTTCCTTGCATGCCATGCTGCCTCTGAAAACAAAGTGGGGAAGTAAACATAAAAAAGAGGTTTCATCTGTATCCACAGTAATGATTCTGTGCTAACCGGGAAGAAGAAATGAACATAGAACTGCTGAAATATCTGCCATGTGATATGTATACATCTGTCCATCTGAAACTCTGTTAAGTTGGGGGGATTACTGGTGATATAGATATGTTTATTACCTTAACCAGCTCAGGAAAAATCAACACCTTTTTTCCATTCAAACTTGGTCAATACTGAACAAGCAGAGGGTAAATTATGAAAACACTGCCCTTTCCTAAGGTGGTACATAGGGTAAAAAGGAATATCCTAAACAGAGCTTTAATGGATGCCATCTGCCACTGGAAAAGATACTTCTAAATGCTGCCAAGGCTTATGCATATTTAAGTAGGAATGATGAACACCAGTTGCATGTCAGTGTTTGCTAAAGATACGTTGTTTGTGATTCTTGGTTTGTTCATCTACCACATCATTTCTCATGACCACCCCTCTCCTTTGGTGTAATGCACTGGGTGGCACCAGGAGGTTTAATTTAAATAGAAAACTGGCATTTTCCTGATCACCAGCCAAATAAATCCTGAGGAGATAGTACATGAAATACTGGCTTTTGTTCTGTTTGCACTGATGTGAGCACAGTCTTGCCTTCCAATAAATAAATAAAGCAAAATTCTAGTAATGGATCTGCTGTTCCCAAAGAATTGCATCACATGGTTTAGTGTAAAGGTGGTGGCAGTGATTAGGTAACAGAGAAAACACATTGGATTAGATCCTCATGAAGTACAGGAGCTGAAGGTCTAACCCAGTATTGTTAGACTTGATGCTCAATATGAAATTAGGTAAAAAGTATTTAGGTCTAAAACCAAACCAATGGATGAGAAAAAAAGAAGTGACTTTTTATGTCCCAGGTATACCAATGAACTCATGGTGGATACCTGGGAGGGCATCCCTGTCACTCAGCTGGTAAAAAGGAACCATTTAAAACATTCTTTATATGCAAGATAATCTAGCATTACAGATTTCTGGTTAAATAATTGCAAAGTGATGCCAGAAGCATGTTCTGAAACTGACACCCCAATATTAGCTGAAAAAATATTTTTGTGACCATTCTCTGTGATGAATGAGTTCCTCTATCCTGAGCCATTTATTGAGCACACACACATGATCTAATAGGACATCATCTGATCAAAGTTGGATACCTGACTTTGGAGTATGAGAATCATAAACTTGCTTACGGTCTATCTGGTCTGCAAACACTTCCCCATAAATCATCCAATAAGGCATGTAAAAAATGTTTTTCGCCAGCTTCCACGAAGGCTCCTCATTGGGGAAGAGAATAGCCTGTCTTGCAACACCAAAGCTCATCAGAACCACCAACATGATGATGACAAAGTACATCATGTCTATCATCTGAATGTAGTGACAGGAAAAGAGAGAGAAAGAGAGAGAAGGGACAAGAATTAGAGGAACTTGTTTGTCCATATTCCTATTATTATATGCTGCAAAAAAAGTTTGCAAATCTTAGAAACAGAATTTTCAAAAACAAATTTTGAAAAGTCATTCTCAGTTCTACACATAATAAATTTCATTTTTAAAGAAGTGAAGCGGTATTATTGTGTCCTTGGTTTTACCCAGTGTGCTTTAAAGAACAATTTAAATATTACGAATAGGCTTGAAAACACAAGATACCATCTGGTCACACCTGTTGCCTGAACGAGAATATAGGTTCACTGGAATCAGCAGCCTGGTCTGGGCAAGGGTCATGAGATGATGTATTGTTTATAGGCACCTAGTGGCAACTGTACCAAAACAAAAGGGCTGACATGGATTATTTTATTTAGTGGTAGTCATTGTCTTGGAGCAAAGGAAGGAAGCTGCATCTAACATAAGGAGTAACGGGTGGCAGAACAGCCTGTTACTGCAACATAAGGGACACCATGGTGGTAACCAGTGAGAAAGGAAAGATGTGATACTGGCTGGGCTAGAAACCAGCTTGGTGGGGGAGTCTGACAAAGGCCATATTTAAAAAAAATAAATGCAGATAACACCGACACTCAACTCTATTCTTGTCCATTGTTGAAGGCGTCATTAGCATATGCACAAGTTTAATTAGTGCTTGCAGGCAGTGCCTACCCATTCAAAATGTTCCTGGAAAAAGTGGGACAGCAATCCTAGGAGGTGCTGAATAGAGGCTGAAGATTAGAAGAGGAGCTGTACTAGAAAAGACCCTCCAGAGAGCAGAGCAATGGGCATCAAACAGGTACAGAAGAGGTGCTTTATAACCCAAAATGAATGTGAAAAAAATGGGAGTCCTGTAAGGTTCTTGGTAAGATCCCTTTAAAACCTTTAGTTAGAGGTTTACTTATAGGTCTTTGGTTATAAGGTTTATTACGACAGAGCTGTTTTTCACAGCTTTGGATGTAATTTTTGTCTCTGGCCAAAACTCGACCCAAAACTCCTTTAAACCTTATGAGTTTTAATCTCTTCAGTCTCTGCATTTTCTGGCTCAGCTGCATTCTGCCTTCCCAGAGAGGCAGGCGTGCAACCAACCTGCACCTCAACCAGTGGCCTTGTTGCTCCATGGGGGACCTGCTGCAGCTCAAGAGCAGGGCTGCTCATGACAAGAGCTGGTGGAAGAGGGGACTCATTTGCAGCAGATGGATCTGGCACTGCTGCTGGGGTTCTTCAGTTTTAAAGCACAAGGACAGAGACCTGAGGTCAAAGTAACACTGGGAAAGTATCTAACAGAGAAAAGAGAGGGATACAGAGGAGCAAACAGAAAAGGATATTCCCATATTTACTGAGAGACAGGCTGTAGGAGAAAGACGCCTGTAGGGCAGGGCTCTGGTAGGAGAGACTCAAGGAGCTGGAAAGAAGGACTGGGGACAAGTGAAAAAAAGCAGGGGAAAACAGAAGTCTTGAGGTCCATAAAAAATGCAGGAAAGAAAGAAAAAAACTCTGGGGACATGAGAGAGGAAAATAAATGCCTTGAATTAAAAAACAGACAAGTAAATCACCAACATTCCTATGTTATTCAGAATATTAATCTCTCAAGAAAACATGATTGAAGAGGAATTCCAGGTCGTTGTAGCTCAGAGAGCATCCTGAAATGGGAAAGCTGCATAATTACATTTAGTTCTTACTGCTTTTAGGGAAGGAATTTGGAGATGAAACCTGGTTCCTCCTTTCTTCTCTGATGAAACTTTGTTTCAGGTAGAAATATATAACATGACATGATGTAATATAACACCTATTTTAAAATGTCATGCAAGCAAATAAACATAATGAGTATTTGGTGGCAATTTAAGAGAATTTATTAAATGCTTCCAGTGTTTTTGATCAGGAATCACACAGGTTTGACCTCATGTTGCAAGAAATAAAATTTTCAGTGCTGTTCTCTATTCAAGCTACATATTAGCTTTTCCCTCCTTCAACTGGGTGTCTTTCTAAAACCTCAGTAGCTTGTCTGAAATCCAGGGAAATAGATGGGTGGGTTTCCACTGACTAACGGGCATTGTATCAGGCCCTTTGGCCTGTAGGGTCAAATTGCAATTGCTATTTTAACAAGGCAATGGCCATTTCAATAATTCTGAAGAACTCATTAGTCACCTATTTAAGAAAGTGATAAAACGAGACACTGTTGGTGCAGTTTTATAAACAAGCTGGCTCCATTTCCCCTTTTTTATTTGCAGAGAAGCTAAGAAAATGTAGACATTCCCACACAGTAAGGAAACTGATATACCTCTGACTCTCTTGACATGCCACAGTGATTTCATTTCATTCCCAAACAAAAGGGGAGTAAATCTATCACTGTGCAGAGATCAGAAAAGCACATTATAATAAGCATATTCTGTTACTGAAATTAGTAGATAACAATAAACTTGGCCATTCAGTTTCCTCCTCCTATCTTCACCTTTGCTTTAATCCATTGCTTTTAAACCGCTCAAGCCCATTCCTGCCCCTTGCTTAATTTCACTTGCATATTTATTCACAGTGCCCAGAGGTAAAACTTACTACAGCTATTTTGCTGGATACAATGTAGAGGCAGGTGAAGAGAAAGTTCCTTAACATTGGAAAGATGGTAAGAGTCATCTTTTTCCTCCTGAGTCTAAAACTTACTCACAATAGAAGCTCAGGACAAAAGCTCAGGCGTTAAATATGATCTGTTGAGGAACTCAATAGCTGTGACGGGTTTACTCTGTAGAAATATGTATAACCAGCTTGATGTTCTCCATAGTACTAAATGGTACTTGCAAGACCATGAAGTGAAAAAGGCAGAACCCAAGGAGGTAAACAGACATGTGATTTAAACAAAAATGCACAAGGGAGCACATTGCAGCCTGGAGCAAGCAGGTGCAAGTCCCAGGGAAATCTGTCCGTGATATAAATGGGCTGGCCATTACACCGGGGAATAAGTTGGCCAGAAAATAGATGCGAGAGGCAAATTTGTGTAAGTCAAACCAGTAGGGCATTGCATGTGTGGACAAAGTGGATGTGTCAGAGTTGCTGAGTGCATGGAAAGTTGGTTGAGGTATGAAAATCAAATAACAGGAAGGCACAAAAATAAAGGACTTCCCTCCTTTAACAGTTGCCCACACGTTCAGAGTACTCTGTAGCTAAATTCAACACCCTCTGAGTGGGTGCTGAGCCTACAGAGGCTAGTGATTTTCCTGCATTTGTTTTCCACAGAAAGTGAAGTGAGGCTTGATTTGTTGTACACATGTGAGGATGGCAAAGGAATGGAAATTAGATTATTTTGCTGATTTCAACCACTTCCTTTCTATGTTGACCCCAGGAGAAAAATAAACCACTGTTTATACTATTGGTGAAGCTGGGCTAACACTGCCTACTAGAAGTTGTTGTTCATGGCCAATCTGTTTATTATTGAACTTGTTTTCAGACTGCCTTTGCTAGCACCACAGCTCTGAAACTTTTTGTGCATGGCACCTGTGAAAAGTACAACAGAGTAGGAGGGTAGTTGTTTTTTAGGAGTTTTATACACTGTGTATTGTGTAAGCCCCAGTGACCACCAGATCCCCTGATGGAGGGAGATAGTCCAGGTGGGGCAGGAAAGAAACAAATAATAATGCAGTGTTTTCCCTTTGGTCTTTGGTCCTTTCACTTGTCCTGCTCTCCTTTTACAGTAACCTCCAGTAAGAACTGTTGAGTGTTTTCACCTCTGTACTCTGGAGATCTGCAAAATCCTGCCCATCAACATCCTATTGGCTTCCTTGAAGGAAGGTAGCACACTTCAAAATCCTGTTTGCGGGACATAACAATTCAACAACCACTTCCTTTTGTGTTTTCCCTCTATCTCTTTTTTTTTCACGAAGCTGTACTTTCTTTGTCAAACTCACCACTGTGGGTTTGGAGTTGAAAGCTGGTAAATTGAAGGGATAAGACAATGGTTCTTCAGTCACCTGTTGGGTAGGGAGCCTAACTGGACATATATTTTGCATTTCAGTTTTATACCTCCTTAGAATCACTGAGCTTGTTGTGATTAATGTAATATCAAGGAGGGATCGTAGTCCATGCATTCATAGATGTTCCCTTTTCCTATAATGATGAGGAAGGAGGGTGGCTGGGTCTTTTCTTTAAGAACCATGGTAAGGCAAACACAACAGACAGCCTATTTGGACTTGCTAGTTATTGTCCACATAGCAATCAGGCAGCAGTAATATTTGTATTTAGAAAAGTTAATATTCAGTTTAATTTTTTTATTGAATGCCAGTTTCAAGGGTTTTTTATTCTGTTTTTTAAAAAATAAATCTTAAACGCCAGAATGCATGGAACAGCCATGATTTACACAACAAACGCTGGATAACTGCATCTAAAACATGAGCATGTATATTAGCTACATGTGCGGGTACTCAAATATCAGGGACTTGTGCATGTGCATCTGTAAACTCAGCCATTTTCTTTAATTCATATGAGCAAAACTCATATGAACTATGGAAACGTAAAAAGAAAAAGCCAAAAAGTCAAAAGTTATATGGCTGGCAGCAATATCTCTCGGTTCCTCCTGTATGCATTTACTATGACATAAACTATTCATACTCCTGCCATGTTGTGTACATGTGATGTGGCCAGGGGACAGAGGCTGCAGTTATGCAAATGGATTTCTCATCTCACAAGGACACACCTGAACAGGAAGGATGGAAGAACGTATGGATATGGAGCAAACTGTAGAAAGGTCACGGTCTTAATCATAACCATTATAGTTTTGAACATACCACGCCTATTACAACACACTTTCTTTGAGAGTCTGAAGGCACCAAATTTTTTTTTTTTACCTTAACAAACCACCCTCCTTTACAACTAGTTGAGAGTTAACATCCTTTGTATTTTCTGCAAATGAGGCACAGAGGTGTAGGATGGATGGCTTTGCTGTTGAAGAGAGATCTCAGAGAAAGTTAAGCAATACCTCATCTAACAGAACAGGGAGGATCTAATCCTCAATTCTGGGGGTCTATGCTGAGGTTTTGATTCAATAAAGCACAGATTTCTAGCTTACATGAAAATGCTAATGTGTAAAAAAAATACAGATAAATCTGCAGTGATGTCATTGGCCAAAGACATTGAATCAAGAACATGCTGGTAAAACATAGAAGGAGTACACCAACTTCTCTTACCATTTTCCCAATCATCATAACGTATGGTCCCAAATACTTGTTTACTCCGAAGATGTCTAATAACCGTATATACCAGTAAATGATGTTAACACAGTATATTACTCGGCCATCACTCCGGAGTGGCAGGTCTTGCAGACGGAGCACCATCCCGACGGAGAACAGGAGGATAGCTATGAGATCAGTAACGTTCCAGTACTCCTGGAGCCAAACTTTTACTTTCTGTAACAGTTTCCCAGGCTCTGACATCAATATCTGAAGGACAGGACATGGAGAGGAAAGGAGCTGAGCTGTCTTAATTTAAGCTTGAAGAGATCTATAGTAAACAGAAATATGCCACACAGGCCAAAAGCAAAGCTGATAGACTCCTATCATATAAATATCTCATGTACTCTCTGATTTTTTTGAGAAATCTTCCATTTCAACCATTCTTAGCCTGTATGTATGTGCAAGATACTTAAAAGAAAAAGGACAAAACCCTCACTCCCTCTAAAATCCCCATGAAATCAGAAGAAATATATGTATATCTTTCTTTTTTTCAAATTTATTGACCCTACTTAGAGTCTTGGAATAGAGGGAGAAATATAGAAAGATATTTCATCAGAAAATTCACACTTAAAGAAGCTGTAGATTTAAGGAAAATTATTCTAAAATGTGTATCAAACTGTCAAGAAATAATTACTAGCCATAAAGATCTGGATTTAGAATTTAATCCAGAGAGATACTAGCTATTACTTGGACCTGTTTTTGGAAATAAAGTTCCACAGCTGAGAATATAATTCACAAAAATAATTAATCTTACCTTATGAATTTATCGTCATTCTATTTGCAAGATCATTTGGGAGACTTTGTTTTCCTGAATTACTGTTGAAACTATTCCTCAAGTGATTTCTATGAATAATTCCTAACTTTTAGTGAGTTAACAAGCTGTTTGTTTTAATTTTCTATATTTAGCCTGAGAACATTTGAGCAGACTCATACAGTTCCTTAAAAAGATGAATGCCATTCTTATAATTTTCTTATAATTCATTTTCAGAATGAATTTTAGGCTCATCTTCTGTGAACAACTTCCAACATCTGCTTAGAAATCCATTCCGACAAATGTTCTTGATAAACGTTTGTGGAAAGGACAATTTGGGGTGAATGATTAGACAAAAATGGCATACACTATTCCTGCCAGCAGCCTCCCACCTACTGAGCCAGCGGTGCTTTGTCTCCATCAGTGTTGCAGAGTCCTCGTGTGGCTACCGCCACTGTTTTCCTTTTTCTTTTGGTTAGTGAAGTACACTCATTATAGGCCACACAAGTAGTGTCTTGTCCTCTGTTCTTTCTATTTATAATGTAGAGTTTACTGTGCAGTGTTTGAAATCTGTCTTTGAAGTCTAAGTGGCTGTTGCAAGACTGTTTTTAGTCTAGTCCTCAAAAGTATTTGCTGCAGAAAATACAAATGTAGATGGTAACAAATTCAGCCCAGGGGTACAAATGTGCTGTTTCAGCTGAGGACAACGGGACTCGCACCCACTCACATCAGGGCTGAATTTGGCCTCTGGTGTCATTGTGGAATAAATGCGCATTTGGCTGAGCGAAGAGGGCACAGCGGTAGCTGCAAGTGGGAGGAGACCGTGAGGGGCAGGGGATGGCAGAACAACTTCACTTTGCCTATAGACTGAGTGCCACCTTGAATGCTCTGTCTGTGCTCTATGTGTCTGCTTTATCATCTTTAGGGAGATGGATGCTATTGCTTGACATATTTTGCAGAAATTTTCAGGATTAAAAGGGGGAAATCCTATTAGAAATTTGCTGCAATATTCAGGGTGGATCTATATTTTCCCCCAGTTATGGCTGGTTTTATTTAAAGCCTTTGCATGAGATACTTGGACAGACAGGACAGCTGTAAATTTTGAATGAACTCTATTTGGGGTGGGGTGGGGATTCAAACATTGGCTTTTTGGTTGTCATGCTATCACCATTTCTCTGTGTCCATTCTGTTATAGCGTATCTCCTGTCGTGGTTTAACCGTTTCTAGGAAGAAAATTAACTCTATCCCGCCAAAACCAGGACATCTCCTTTTCCTTTCCCTGAAACATACTTCAGTTTGTGGACCACATTTCAAGGAATATAGCTGATTTTTAAGATATGTCTGAAGACTGCCCCATACTTGTGAATGCTATTAAACGTGCACACAGAAATCTGAACAGAGGACTTCTGTGGGAGAAAGAGAAAGAAAGAGAGAGATTTTTGATTTTAAAATGGAGGAAGATAGATATTTTTAGTGCATGTTTTTAACAATTCTTCTGCTTTTCTGCAAAAAAAAGCAATTTTATGATAAGCCCATTCATCAAAAATTAGCCTGAGAAAAAACATAAGAACAGATATTAAAATGAAAAAAACCACACTTATTTCTTTTTCATTCTGTCTTTCTTGGCTGGGGAGATTTTACCTCTCTCATCTTCTCTATTCCCAGAGTGAAAATGTACGAGATGACAATCCATTCCTGTGTAGATGGCCAGCGATCCATCTTCACTAACACTATATAATTGAACAGCATCAAGTAGCCTATATATGCCAGCTGTAAAGAAACAAAATGGGTATCAACAGTCACTATATTTATACGACTGAGGTAGTTTCTTGGGTATGATTTGATATTCCCAATTCCACTGTAACCAGAGATAAACAGACAAAAGAACAATCAGACAGTGTTCTGGGTTGTCTGAAAAAGCTCACATTAAATCACATACAGTGTGGAATCTGCAAAATACATGCACAAACGTCCTCTCCTCCAGCTACATCTGCCCCCCCAACGAAATTGTATTAATGCAGTCCCCCTGGATCATCCCATAGTGATAGGAACTCTGATACCACTATGCCAACTACCAAACTAAGTTACCTATGTGAAGATTTCTTCCTCATCTGCTTCTAACATCCTTTACACCCTTCTCTGTGTTTTTTCTCCTTGTTCACCTAACCTAGGCTGACTCTGGCATTCCAAATCCTTTTTGCACAATCTTTGCCTGGAGCCCAGAAGGTCCTAGGTGTTGCTAGAAGTCTTCCTACCCAGTGTAGTACTGACCTAACCTAACCATAATTCCTCCCCAAAACACTGCTACTCCTACTCACATTGCTGCAGCAAGTAGCCAGGCATAGCCATGCATTCATTTGCCTTATATTTTTTGCAAGTTTTTACATATAACTGTTTTGCTTTTCCTTCTCTAATATATCTACCGTCTGGCCTAATTTTTGATACAGTGGAAAGTGTGGATTTCGTTTTTAGTTTCTTTTTCCTTTCTTTCTACATGCTGAATGAAATGAAATGGTCAGTCAAAAAAAGCCAAGACAGGCAAATTGCATCATCAAGTTCATAAAACTCAGAGCAACCTGAGTGTCACACTGGAGCATGGGCTGTAGCAAGGGTGAATGGCTGTGGCCGGGGTCTGTGGTGGCCAGAATCCAACTGCCTGTCTACCTTGCCTTTCAAATAGCAGCCCTACAAGAAAATGTATCTTAAGCCAAATTTAAATCAGAGAAAAGGTGATTAATTTCTGTGCATGAACAATTTAGCCATTGTGGCAGAAAGCTTATTCCATACATCTGTATTTCAATACAGTTTTTCTCTCTCAACTGCATGTTACTGACAACTATTGTGTACTTGGTGTCAGACTTAATATGAAACAACCACAGAGGGGCTTGAGACTTCTGGGTAGGATTATTTCAGTGTTCAGCACCTCACAGAACAGGATTTATAGTCCTGTTGTATTTGTTAGAGAACATTGCTTCTGCTCTGTGTAAAAACCACAGGGTTCTGGCTTTTCTTCCAGTTGCTGGTTTGAAGGACACTTGAGAGAATTCTTTACATTGGCCATAACTATCAGTGCAGAGAAGACAGCCAGTTGAACTGCTGCTTCTTGTCTACATAAAACAGAGGTGGAAATGATCTCATTTGTCTTTCCGTTTGTGCGTGATGATGGATTGCAACGCTCAGGTCTAGAGACTGGTCTTCCCTTAACACTCCTAAAGCAAATGGAGAGCAATATTGACATAGGTCAGCATCTAGGGTGTCAGCTGAGTCAGCAGAACTGTCTGGGAAGGCAGAACTGGATGCACACCTCCCTTGCTGAAATAACACCTTCGACTATAGTGCAAAAAGCCAGGTGATACTGTCACCTAACACCCCTCCTCTTAGATCTTATTGATTATTAATTATCAGCAAATCTTATTAATTTTATCTGACTCAGCAGCCTTTGGTGAGCATTTGTAGTTAGCCAAAAGAATAGGGATATTAGGGTTACAAAGGTGACAGAAACCACAAGATCCTCACTGTAACTAGGGGCTTTTGCTTCATCTTGCTTTTTTTTTAAGGTGTCGGGGTTTTTTGGTTTTGGGTTTGTTTTTTTTTTTGTCAGTTCAGATTTACTGAAAATTGCTGAAAATTTTTGCTTGGGGGAAAAAAAAAGGAAAGAAAAAAAGCATCTTGATTTAAGAATAAAATTATGCTGAAACTGTACCACTTTAACCCAAGAAACAAGCCCTTCAGATAGTGAGTCACACCCTCCTTCTCCCTCCCCAGGCCTGTAACTTGTTCCTGCCTTCCAGGAGGATGTCCTGATCCCATGCTGTGTTCAAACCTCAGTACCGCTGCCCATGCTGGTACTCAAGATTCTTTGAAAGTGCTACTACACAATAGCTGAACCCTCTTTTTCTTGCTTTTACATGGCTTGACAAAGAGCTAGGGGCTGCCACTTTCATCCTTGAGGGCAGTACCTGAAGAAACTAAGGAGAGGAATGCCTTCTAAGAAGTTTCTAGGGTGGGTTGCCCCCTCCCCTCCTATGGATGCTGTTCCATTCTATAGAAAATACTCGAATACTCATTATGGTAAGGGACAAACCTGGAAATTGTACCAGCAGGAGAGTGCTTCAAGAGAGAGACTACCCTTCCCTTTTCTCACTGATTGCAATAATTAAATGATCATAAAGTTAAGTGGTCCCAAAATGCAAAACTTAGGGCAAAGCTGTTTTGAGGTTTAGAAGATGACTCTTACTCAGGATTCAATTCCCTCTGCAACTATTCCTCCTCAGGAGAGGTAGAAATGTGGCCTCTTATATACTGCTAGCATCTCAGCCTAAAGCTGGTAGTTAAAAGGGGAAGGTCATCCTCTTCTCCTCAAGCAATCTGTGAGATGAAACCTTTGAGTCATGGTTTTCAACAGCCACAAAACAGAACAGAGTAGTTGACTTTTGAAACTACTGCACGTCCAGAGAGAAAGGCTGAAATTTTTTTGGTTGAGAAAAAGCTGTTTATTTTGGCTCATCTGCTGAGCCAAAATGTTTCTTACGCAAACATCCCCACATTTAACCCACTCTTGTGTATTTTTGGAATGAAGGTTGATATAGCTATAGAGTAATAGCAGATAGGTAGATATAAAATAATCAAATTATTTTAAATGGCATACAATTACCATAAGTATAGTCACTTTGCTTGCATTTTGGACTGTGGAATGTAAAATCTGGAGGATTTCTTTTGAAATCTATGATTAGAATTTCTGCCTGTGTGCTTGTAAAAAGTGTGATAGGCTCTGCAATTTTAACCTTCATCTGAAAGTTGTTTTGCTTTTAGTCTCCAGGAGTTTCTCAGTATACCCAACTGGTCAAGCACTGCAGCCAGAATCCACCTTAATTTGCTCTTCAAGTTCAGTGTAGCCAAGATCCAGCTTTAATAAGTGACCTTGATTGAGACCTGCCTCAGGACATGAAACTGTAGGAACAGGTCTAAATGGAAATGCAATATTGATCTTTTTCTCCCGTTTCAGAATTGAACTAACAGGGAGAGCCAGGATGCTTCTTTCTGTTTACAGTGTAAAGACTTTCCTGGCTATGCATGATACATATTGCAATTGATGAGACTAGGCTGCTGATGAGCAGTTTCTAGACTCACCAGTCTGATTAATGATCAATGGCCACACAGTTCAGCAAGTAGTTACTTCAAGTCGCTCAACTGGAGCTATTTGCTAGCATAAGCTGTCCACCACAGTTTAGTCTCTGTTGATGTGAGTTGTTCCTGCTGTGTGTAGACGTATTGCTGGATCTCAGCAAGGAAATTTTTCTTATAAGAAGTCATGTACAGAAGGATGCATTCTTTGTGATTTGCTGTGCATTCAGCAGAATGATGGAAAATATAACTGGGAAGGACCGCCTGAAATCATCTGGCCAATTCCCTGGTGCTGAGGCAGGATTAATTACAGTGTAGCATAATGGACATATGTTTTGATAAGATAGACTTAGAAATCACTAATAATGGAAAACCTACTGTCTCCTTACACAGTTTATGACAGTACTTCTCAGAGCAGTTAGAAACTGTTTCCTAACATCTTACCTAGAACTGCCTTGCTGCAATTTAAACCATTACTTCTTGTCCTATTCAGCAAGGATTTGTTGTTCCTGTCTGCAGCTACTTATGCATACTTGAAGACTATTACATTCCTTCTGCAGACTTGTTTTTTCCAGAGAAAACAACCTCACTTCCTTAAAGCTTTCCCCTTAAGTTATGTTTTACAGACCTCTTGAAACATTTTCCTTGTTCTTTTTTGTGTCCTTCAAACCAGTCCAAACTTGTCACCTGATGCAGACACCGAACTGGGATAGAATATTCCAGCCAAGGAGACTGAAAGGATTACTTTCTGTGTTCATTTTACTTTTTGATCTCATCCTTCTACATTCTAGTGCAATTTGCAAATTTAATAACTAATCTCTACTCCATCATCCAAGTTTTGAATGAAAATGTCAGATAGCACCTGATATAGGAGAGACCCTAATGGAAACCTTTCCAATCCCTGCTTCCAGCTTGATAGTGAATAATTAATATCTACTCTTGAGGACTAATTGCCAAAAAGCTTTGTATCCACATAGTAACTTTAATATAGCAGTTATTAATTTATCTGTGAGAATACCCTGTAAAGTTTTTGATACTGACTTACTTTAGTCAAAATATATGGTATAATCTTTTTTCTGCTCCATCTGCAAGGTCTGTTTCTTTATAACGCAGGGAGAGTATACTGATTTGACATAATTTGTCCCTGAAAAATGTACATTAGCTGCTACTCATGTCTTTGTTATCTTGTGGGTACTTGCACAAACACTTTCTCTGAGAGGCACTCTGCAGACTAGTCAAAACAGAACGAGGAAAAAATATATTCCAAGAAAAGACGTGCTCTATCTGCTTCTTTTTTTCATCAATTATTATACAATTGTATATCCTAATTCAGCCCAGCCTCCCATTGGGCTTACTATTGGGAGCTCTCCTGTTGGGAATTCTCCTACAGGGAATTCCTTGGGAACACTGACTGCAGCAAACTGCCACTTATTGTTTTATTTGAAGAAAAAACATACAGTAATTCAAATTTTAACCATTAACTTCCTGAATGAAATGGTAGTCTTTAAAAGTCTTAGACAGGTTTGCAAGTGCTAGCTGACCTCCACAAAAAGTTTTTATTAAACTATTTACGGGTAAGCCCTCCAATGCACGCAGATGCAGACTTTCAATGAAATACACAAGATGACCTTAATCCAATTTCAGTATTCATCCAAACAGTAGTAGTATAACAGGAAAGATTTCTTACTGTGTAAAACCAAAATTTAACGATGGGAGCATTGTAGAATTCATAAATCTTTCTTCCAACAGGGATCAATCTGTGCCTGCTCTGAACTTCCTCTTCCTCTTTCTTTCTTGAGGACTCTCCATTCCCTCGTCCCAGCATTGCCTACAAGAAAGGACATTTTTGTGTTTCCTTCTTTGTGAAAGACAAATTAAGCTATTTTTTGAAATTTCAAAAGGGAACTATTCAAAACTTCTCTGATTTCTTGATCTTTAGACAAAACCAGGTGACCATAGCTAGGCGTAAAATGCTTTGTTCTCAGATTATCTTTTTTGCAGGGAAGCTGCTGTTTAATACTTTTTAAACCGAAAAAGCAATGCTTTGGCAGCAACTGTGAGCACCAGTGTGAAATTCTTGACTGGTGAACAAAGTCTGAGATGTGGAGAACATTTCTCCTTTTTGCTATATGGACAGCAAAATTTTTACCTGACAACAGCTTTTTGTAGTGTACTTCTGTACAATAAACAGATGCACACAGAAAACAGATAAGTTTTGGTTTTAAACAAAGAGAAGCTCATAAGGCTGAGACTGAGAGAGAACAACAGGGGGAAAGATGAGTTGGCAGTTGCTGGACTGGAAGCAATGAAGCCAGCGACTCTTTTTATGTTGATCACTGGATCTGTCATAGGTGATGGTCCCACAGTGAACTTCACATGGATGTAGAGGACTGACCAGTAGAGTTCACTGGAGCATTAAGGCCTTGGATTGAAAGATCCTTCTACATGATTGTAGCTTCTTCCATAATGAAGTTCCAGACTGCTCATGCACTGCCTCAGTTAAGCTTGATCTCACTGTTACCATTGCAATTCAGACTCACTGAAGAGCTACGCTGAGCTCCAGAAACACATACTTAAGAAGTCCTCAGCTGTAAGTTGAAACCTAACAGGCAAAAGACGGTAATATTTTGTTTACTCTTAACTTCTGCTGCAGAGAGGTAGAAGGAGTGACTAAACTATATACTCACTGAAGTTCATGCTTAAAAGAAGGTGTTCCTTTGTATTTAGAGTACAGCGTGATTAAATGTTCTTTGGAAACAATTCTTTTGTGAATAGTAGACTAAGACTGCCCTGGGCAAGTTCTTACTATTTAGTTTGTGGCAGCACCTATAGATTGTAGCACTCCTGCACATGAAAGCAATTGCAAGAATTGAGATACAACTGTTCTATCTAAGTATGCAGGGATTGCATGATGATGCTTTTACTTAAATGCTCCTATAATGTTTTTCTACAAGTAGATCAAAGCACTTTCATACTTTTATGGTAACTGAAGCAAACTTTCACTATATCTGAAGCTAACATTGTTCTCATCTGCAACTTAAAAACATGGAAAACTAAGCCCCTAATGAGAACAATTAGATGCCAGACATACTGTTTTTCAATAAAGAGGTCCTTCTTTTATCTATCTCTGTGTTCTCTGATTCATCAGGATGTTCAGCACATACTTAACTAATCAGCTTCAGGTGAGCTATTTGACCTGGAGATGCACTTGTCACATATGTAAAAGTAAGAATCACAATCTTTCCTTTTCTTCCTTTTTCTAGGCCTCATGTGGGGCTATTCATATAGGTCTTTGGTCCTGTAAAATAGTAATTTGTAATGATAAACTGATGACCACATTTTTTTTTTCAGTCAGTGTAGATAATTTATAACATTATTAGCACTGTGTATGGTCCTAGATGGCTCCTGCCTAATATTTCTCTTTCATTTCATTTATACAGTTATTTTTTTCATCTGGTATTATTACTTTCCACATGGTCTCTTATAGTCTTGAATTTGACTGTGCACAGATGTTGCCCTGCACATTTTTAATAAAATAGAACAAAGATTCAGGACACAAGTATACTGCACTGAAACTAACCTGCTGAGATCCTCTCCAAACTGTAGCCTGCTTTGATGAAGTTACCTATTTCCTTTTCCATTTTATGCCTGCAGGTTTTTAAGTTCATTGCCATAAATGTTGATAAAACAATGCATATTAAAAAATTAAATATACCTCCTGTTGATTTGCACAGAGCACATAAAACCCCTTAAAAGTCCATCAAGAGTTTCATTAAAAAAGGAAAACAATGAAGTGGCTGTTAAGCAGAGGAGAAGGGTTTTTATTAGATAAGCAGATAGTCTGCAAGAACATGAGACTGAATATAACTATAGTAGCAGAAATTACACAAACTTCACAGAACCCCAGATATCGTTACCTGAAGTCTATGAAGCCAAAGTGATTCCCTGATCTATATCAGGGATTGTTTGTTTGTGAAAAAAAGTGGAATATGATCTGAATGCTTTGGGAAAATTGCAGCCCAAGAAGGTACTAATTTCTTTGCTTCTCTACCTCCTGATGCTGTTTTAGGGAAAGCTGCCATCTGGTGCTTCAGAGTTTTCTGCAGCTTTTCCCAAGGCTTTGTGTCTGCTGTCCTCTGGTGCTCAAGAATTTTGCAGTAGAGTGAAAAAGAATGCTGGCAGCTTTAAAAATGAGCAGTGCTGTGTTTTAGTGAAAGGGATTATTTTAGAGAGTTTAAATCCTTCACAATTTTATAAATTTACTAATTCTGACACCCCCTTTGCTCTCACTGGAATCAGTGAATTGTGGATGTTTTTGGGATAATGCTCCCTCAGTACCTGGATTAATGCTTTAGCTCATGGATGCTGATTTCCTGTTTGCTATTGCTTTTTTGTTGATAATGATGCTGTAATTTTATCTTGTTATAATTATTTTTTAATTAATTGTATCATATAATACTAACCTCTCCCCTTCCCCATGCTACAGATGGCAAATTGCTCTGAGATGTCTGGGAATTGGATTTGACCTGATGGCCCTGACTGTTAATTAGATCACAGCATTAACAAATTGAAAAGCCTGCCCATTAGAAACATACAGAAATAACCTAAGTGACTGTGTTAACAGGATAGCTGCAATGCCGAATGTGAACAAATGTGTTTTCACTTGGAGGGGGAAGCAATAGGGTGGGAATAACTCAAGACACTGCTCTGTGTGGGTGCCATCTCTTTCTCTAATACACAATTTTGTCCATGATTCCCCACGAGTCATGCAAGGTAAGCCCGACAGCAGCTCAACTACATTGTAAAGTACAGTACAAATGCATCATTTTAGCCTGAGGGGATTGATGTGCGCATAGTTTTTACATGGAGATTTTTCTAATCAGGATTCTGTTGTGTTTTTTTTTTCCTCCAGATTTTGTTTTATGTAATTGTAGACTGTTCACTGATAGAGAATCAGGACAGTTTTGGGTTGTGCATTTTTGCATTAATATATGTTAATGATCCTATAATATATTTATCTGTTTTATAATTAAATAACAGGAATTTCAGTCCTGCTAGAATGATCATAGGCTTTTCAAATTTTATCCTTAGTGAAATCTACATGCTACATATAGACTTACCGTATATTCATACAGAACTGGTGTGGAAACGGTACATAGCTGGATGGATATAATATACCTCTGTCTGCACACCCCATTGTATCCTACACTATGTATGGAAATACCGCCTCCACGGTAGTCATTCTAGGGTTACCGTTCTCTGCTTTGAAATACTGGTAGGAAAAAGGGTTTAATGCCTTTGAGTTACAGGTGTGTAAAATTGGATTTTGCATGTGCTCAGTAGTCCTTTAAGGTAAATACAGAGGAACAGGGCTAAAGTACCAGGAGCTCAGTCATCCTGGGTGCTGACCACAGTGAAGGACACGGAGAGTGCCAGGGCAGTTGTGTGGTGGCACTATGGGGGGTTTCGAAAACCCTCGGAGAAACGGAGGGAAATCCCTCCTTAGGGCGAGGGCCAGCACTTCTGCCTCATGACCACTGGCAATGTCTCCCACTGCCATTTTCCAGCTGAAGGGGTGCCTTGCTGCTGGCATGTGAGATGCTGCAAGCACCATCCCCCAGCGGGGTGGGTGAGATGGGCCAGGGGCACAAGGACACTAGTCTTCAACCTTTCCTATCTTAAGAACTGTATTTTTAGTGATATAATATTTGGTTAGTTCTTGCCATGGAGAAAAGGCTAAGCATATGTACTACAGATGAGATAATGTGAGCCCAGAGGCCAACACAACTAGCTTTGCTGCTGATGAAAAGTCCTAACTCAGACTTTTAGTGATGCCCATGGAAGTCTAAACTTCCTATTTGATGTGGAAAATTAGAACAAAATGAGCAAAACAACAACTGAAACATCTTCTAAAGGACTTAGATGGGTTATTCTGTGTTCTGAAATAAGACTATTTACTGGGAACTCTAATACCCAAACAATAAGGCACTGAATAGGGATAAGGATGCTCCTAGTTATGGTTTCCAGAATCAGTGTTATTTTGGGATGAGGGTAGACTGCTGGGGTTTCTGACTGACCTAAAAGTCAGCAACTAATTAAGGCCCTGGTCAGGACATTGTACAAATACAAAATGTCCCTGGCCTTTAGAATTTAGTGCCCTTCTACTCCTCTATGTCTAATATTCAGGATTAGTGACTGGCAGCTCCATGCATAAATTGTAGTAAATTCCTTGGTGCTGAGGGAGCAGCGATGAGAGCAGTATTCAAGTGTGTTTTTGTGAGTAGCTGCTATAAGGAGAGTCTGTTGCCTAGCATCTAGGTGTTAAAGAAATGTGTGCCCAGCACTCTCATGTATCTGTTATAAAGTCAAAAGCAGGTGTGAGTAACAAGTAGTTTACAGTGAATAAACACTACATCTTTATAGTGTATCCAAATGTTCAGCAACCCACCAGATCCTTTGGGAGGAGCATAAAACAAATACATACTCGCATGCAGATGCACCCATGCGGAGACTTACTTCACTGTTGCTGTAGTCTGTGTGATCACATTATTCTGTGCAGATGAGGTGTAAAATAGCGCAAAAATCACTGTGGCCCTGTACGTCATCCACTCTGCACAAGTGCAGTCCAGAGGAAGAAACTGACTCTTTTGGTCTACCATTAGTCACCCGGGCTTAGCAGTGCAGGACACACAAGACTTCATAAGAAATCAATGAACAGACCGTGACTAAATGTGATCTCTTTATCTTAGCAGTACTTTTATAACAATGCATATGGAGGTAATATTATAGGAATACAGAGACTTGAGAAGTATTCGTTGGGAATGATTAGAAATAGAATTAGGCAGATTGTTTGGATCATACATTATTTGCCAGAAATGGACTTTTGAGGTGACCAAAATGATTTTTAGTTCATCAATTTTGTTTGTTTAAGCTTTAAGATGAACAAAGCTCAGAAACCCAACCATGGAAAAATTTTTAAAATATTTTAAACAATCATGTGCCAATTAAATAAATGAATAAAAGAAAACTGTAGTAATCACCAAAAAGATCTATTTGTTTGTTCTGAAAGGAAAAAATGTGGAGAAAAATATGCAGGTCATTCTGAATACAATAGTCACAAGCTATGGTTAGGGTGAGTGATTGATCTATTGAGCCAGAGTTCAGCAACTGATTAAACATTTGTGATATGACATCACAATCAATTATTAATCTTAATGAACTATGAAGAAGGTATCCTTAATATAAGTGTGGCTAAAGAGAAACTTCACAAAGGCACTTCCCAAACAGTCTTGCAGGCATCCTCTCATCAGTGGAGAGGAGATCGCACCTAACTTATGCCAGACCATTTGACTAAGGCTGGAACAATGCAAAACTTCAATCTAAAGTATTTTCTTATATTTAAAACATGTCAGGTAGGAACACTCCCTGACACGGTACCTGAAGGTGACTAAATATAACTGGCTATGGCATCTAACCACAGAAATATTTGCAAAGGCCTCTTTGCTAGCAAATCATCTCTCCTCACCACTGAAGGGCACCTGAGTGAAGAAGCTGTGTTAGAAGTCCTAAAGCACAGTATAGATTATATGCAGAAATGTTAAGTCAGCAGTAGCGTACCAAAGATACTGTTTCTAAACTTGCTGGACTCCACAGAAACAGTTCTTATTTTACAGAAAAGGCTGTAAGTGTCTGAAACGTCACTAGAATGATGCATCAAATTTGAAGGAGTTAAAGGCAGAGTCAATGACAGGAAAGAGCAGTAGGACTGTCAGCACATAGAAGGGAGGGAGCATCTAAGACTCGTCTAGAAAAGCAGATCCAGTTCACACATCACTTTCTTGTAGGAGGGATCAGAAGGTAAAAAGGAAACACAGTATTGTAGACAAGAAACCAGGAGCTGGGATAACTGCAGAGAGATGGAAATTACTTCCTCCCCAAATTTCTCCCCATTGCCAAGAAAAAGGCAGCTTGCAAAGTGCTTATTTGATTTGAATAGGCACTTCATAAGTAGATCAGAAGCCAGGGATAGTAAACTGCAATTAATAGCTAATGAGCGGAGAATGGCCCACTGCTGCTATTCTGGCTTCTGGTCCTTCCCAACGGCCAGGTTCTTGCCTGCAAACGGGTCCTGTAGGTGGATCTTGTGGGCTGCTCCTTCGGCTTGCCTGCATATTGGGTCCTGTAGGCAGGTCCTTCTGCCTGCCTGCAGACGGGGTCCTGTGGGCAGCTCCTGCTGTTTGCCTGTGGGAAACAGTCTGGGTTTTGTGTTTTTGTTTTTGTTTTTGTTTTTTTTTTAATTAACTAGGAAAATCCCTTTTAATTCTATGCCTCTATCCTGACCTTGACCAACTGGGGCTGAGTTTTAAGCCTTTTAAAGACAACACAATCAAACTCAAACCAAAGCAAACAAAACTAAGCTAAGGCTAAAGTTTGGCAGGTCTGATAGGTCATATGATAATTGCCCAAATTAGAAAGTGTCAAACAAGTCTGAGAACAAGAGGCTAGAAGTAGGTGACTTGTATAGTTTTCAGAGCTTTAGCTATTTGATTCCCTTTGTGGTGCAAATTATTACTCTAAGGCTATGTTACTAATACAGACAAGTCCGTCCTTACACAATTCTGCTGAGCTGCAGAAGCTCTTAGTAAGGGCTGAGCTGTCTAGCTGCTTGCTAATGTCTTCAGTGGATTAAAAACTGCATGTGTGTATGTGTAAGAGGCAATGACCACAAATTCATAAAGAATTTAGAAAAACATTTTCATCATTTTTCTTGCCTGTTTGCACACTTACTTCCCCTCTAATGAAGTTAACCAAAGGAAAAAAAAAATAATCTGTAGCTTCTATGAATCTTTGGGCATTTCCACCCAAAGGAAGACTTAGCAAGCTTTTCTACCAGAGAGGCCCATTCATCTATCATGGCTGAGTGATTTCAATTCTGAAATCTCATGCATTTATTTCAGACAACATGGCATCAAACTGAATCAAAATATGAGGATATTATGTCACAGCATGATGCTTCAGCATCACCATGCACTGCTGCAACATTGAGACACAATGATGCCAAATTGTCTGGTTTGAGTCCCACCGAGGAGAGGGGAGTGTTAAGAGTGGTATCCTATCATCTGCTAAATTTAGCCATCAGGCAGCCTGCAACGCCCACAGGGGTGGGAATAACAAATTGACAGCACTGAGGCTGGTGATTTATTGTCGGCACTTACAGTGAGTTCCATGTCCTCCTCCTCTTTTTCTTTCACTGGCTTCTCTGGTTCCTCTGGCTCCTTCTCTTGAAGATGGATCTCACTGGCCTGGGACATGTAAGGCATATCATCTTTGTTCTTGAACTCCAAGCTGAGGATTGAAGGAGGAAGTAGAATTCCTAGAATTACCTAAAGCAATAATAATGATAACAATAATCATCACAGTAAACAGATTACAATCATGATGGTTACTTAGTATCATATGGAACAACTCCCTGAGGACATTTAGGAAAAGAAAGATAGGCGTGCATGTGAGTTTCTATGACAATAGAGTATTTGTCACTTGGGTTAATGTTTTCAGAGCTCCACAGTGGAACAGAGCACATAACTTTTATTAGTATTGCTGTGAGTGCTATGGCTAATTGCATCTCTTGAATATTTTATCTGCTTGCTCATCAGATGCATATTGTTACATACCAGAATATATTTACAAAATATTACATAAGGTCAACGGCAGGTGGGACCATAGGGGTGTTCAGACCTTGGACCTGCAAATTTCTGCATTTTACGTAAGAGACAATATCAGTGTAAATGACACACAAACAGTATTAATTCCTACAGAGAAGGTTAATAGGTCTCAAGCTCTCCATGTCCATACTTAATGCACACAGGTAGTCAAGGCATAAGTGTGTGTGGATCTGAGGAGATAAGGCAAAGCCAGCAATAGCAAATGCTGATGTGCTTAGCTATGTGGGCCCCTTAGGTTTTGCTTCAGTAACCTGGCAGCCATGTAATGCTCATGTTAATGCCAGCTCTTTCTTTTCTGCCTTCCCTCTCTTATGATGTGGGAGTGCAGAAACCATTAAAATTACCTTGTGTGGATATACGCAATGAACGATGCTTGGGGTTAAATCAGTAGTATAACTGAAGAGACATCATAATTATACTAGAAGAAGTGGCCTGTCTGTATTCACAAAAACAATAGCTTTTCCTGGTTTTGCTGTGATCTCATGGAAAATGATTTTGTTATAAATCTCTCCCTAAATAACTGTGAAACCAGATAGTTAGCTTGTTGGCAGGTCAGGGAAGGTGACTGCTTGTGCTCATCATCTCAACAGACAGCATGTGTGTTGCTGAAACCATCCAAAGTACCGCAATTAGGACCAGTTAGTGTATATGAACACTGTGCCCAGCCTCAGAAAAGCTGAGCACCAGGCTGCCTGCACTGCTCCTGCACTCGGCTTGTTGCAAAAGGATGTGTCCAGGGAGAGGGGGTGATGGGCAGACCTGGCTTCCCAGAGAACCTATTTTTAAGAACAGGCAGGATTAAAAATTGCCTCTCCCCCTCCCATTGGTGCTATACATCCCCGGCAAGACTCTAAAGAATTATATTCAGCCTTCTTGCCATTTGCCAGTTTCGATGGGAGAAAATTGTTCATTGGAAATAATCCATGACTCATACTTGCACATTTATTTATTTGCCATGCTGCCTCTTGCTCATGTAGCTTGTAGCCTGCTTTAGCTTTAAACAGGCCCTGCTAATGAGTGTCAGTGAAATAAAACACAGACTAGAAACTGAGTAAAGGATCCTTGTGAAGCCCTGATGTTACAAGAAGCTGAAAGGAAACAGAGTCTGTTACCTTCAGTTATTCATTGTGAAAGAAAGGTCTATTTTATGGCTTAAGAGATGCATGCTGCGAAGAAGAAAGCATGCAGTGGGAAATGAGTTCCTGCACTGATCCCCATCTACCCAGGTTGAATATCTGCAAAGCCAAGCAGTGAACAAGGCAGCAGTCCCTCTGAAGGACAATGGGCCTGTGAGTTGAGTCAGAAAATAGGTAGTAAAGATGACTCCAAATGTGAGAATGCTTTCTAACTGTAAGCAGAACAATATATACACACAGCTCCTGCAGGAGGATGGTGAGAATGCTATCAGCCACTTATCCTTATTCATCACTGTCAATGGATTGGAGCCAGTACGATGACGATGCACGTACTCATAAGCATTCTTGCCATTACCGAACATCTTTTCACATAGCAAAACAGCTGAGCAATTGCCACTTTTCACACACGTGATTAATGCAGGAGAGAGAACCCCTTCACTGAAAATATTTCTCAGTCATCTGGGAGGAAGAGGCAATTCCTGGTTATACACTGACTGATGAGTACTTCAGTGAAGGTGAAAGATGCCAGCCCATGGACACAAATTCAACTCCCAGAATTCACCTTGCTCTGTTAGCAGTTTCACTAACTGTGGAAGTAAAGCTTAAACAGCTTTGAAAATTGAATTATCCTCTAGATCCTCTAAGGTATTCCCCTTCAGGTCAGTCATCAGAAAGATTGGCAGGGGATTGCAAGAAAATTTGTAAAAATTTGTACTTCTTGCTTTGGCCTGTTCTGGGAAAGGTTGTTGGATCAGTACCTTTCACTAGTGGTTAATTCACTTACACATCCTTTTTCTTTATTTATCTTTAAAAACCTTGGCTAACTTACGTATCCCAGCAGGGTGACATACTAACCTCCTGGCTCAGTTCGTAGCCTGATAATTCTTATTGATGCTGGAGAGGATTTTGAGAAAGATGATGAAAAAACTAAGTAATGTGCTTGAACTTGGGCTTGTGATAAGCTCCCTGCTGAAAAAATGAACACAGGAAGAATATACCCTGCTTAATGTCACTTCAAAAAAGCAGCTGAAATATGGGTAATTGAGCCAGTTATTACTGATTTGTTGTGAGGCCCATCACCATCTATTAGAACTCCTCTGACTGTTAATTTTATTTTAAAACAGTGCTGACCTTTAGGCCAGAATTTTTGCGCATCCGGAGACGACCCATCCACATGTCTGTGAGCAGCATTTGGCTGCAAGTGTGAGCAATGAAGTCCCTGTGCTTGGCTGCCACTGCGAGCTGCAGGCATGTGGCATTGCTCCAGTTCTTCAGCTCGTAGGTCAGCAGTTTCATTGCCAGTTGCTCGTCCTGCTTGTATGACTGGTCCAACAACTCCACTGCCAACTGGCCGAAGTCCCTGCAACAGAGGGACATTCGTTCATTCCCATTAGCCCAAGCAGCCTGCTGCAGAAAAAACCCCTCTGCAACTGACAGCCTCTGCAAGGGGGGCATCACCTTCCATCTCGCAAATCATGATGCTGACTGTAGACATGGAAACTCACATTTTCAAATGTGAGTGGCTAATGGTAGGCATCTAAATAAGTGCCCTGACTTAGCAGTGATGAGCACCCACACCTACCAGCTGTCTGCTCCCACCTGCCTGCCCACCTCCCTGACATTTTCTAGCTGAAATCCTCTGGTTATCTGCAGCTTAGAGTGTTGCTTCTGTGCTGTTTCCCCATGGCTTCATGCTCAAGTCTCCTGGAAAAAGGAGTGTCCAATACCCTTTTTTAAATTCTGTGTCTCAGACTTTTAACATCAGGAAAGATTATTATGGAATCTAGTATCTTGGCTTGCTCACCTAAGCATGAGCTCTTGGTTAATTAACACTTCTGCCTGAATATTACATTCGTAAGGATTTCAACAATTGTTCTGCTTGGGATGAACAAGGTGTCTTGAAAAAGCACAGACAAAGGTTGCAGCCTGACTCTTGAGGCCTCAGGGAGAACAAGTAGATAATATAGATATTTGATTGCCTTCTTGACACCTTCTCATTTCAGAAGTTATACTGCTAGCAACTCGGCTTCTCTGGCAGACAGATTGTTTAAAAGCCATTTAGACTTTCTCTAAAGAGACTGCATTTTCCCTACAAGTTAGAAATGAAAGCAAGGTACAGATAAGCAAATTTCAGGCAGGTTCAGCAGCCTCTCTCCTTTTTTTTTTTTTAACCCAGGAAACTGTACATGAAAGAAAGTTCACCTGGAATTATGGTTCAGCTCTTGGGATATGTCATCCACCATGTCATTTTCTGATGCTTCGTGGGCCATGGCTTTGCAGAGTTTACAGGCCACCAGTGCTTTAGCCATAGCCTCTTCCCCATGCTGCCAAAAGAAGAGGGCCATCTTCTGACGCTTCATCAGCACAGCCCACACCATCAGCTCATGGAATGGGAAGGGGAAATGATTGATCTCAGGGTCATCCAAATCAATATCAACTTCTTCTTCTCTTTTTTTTGTTGTTTTCCTCCCTCGCCGCAAAGGGACATCATCCTGTGAGAATTGTAGAGAATTTTTTTTCACCAGTGAAGGAACTGAATCAATTCACACAATGCATTGGAGTCAGTACTTGAGATGTCAAACACATTCCCTGCAGGCCAGCCCCTTCAGCTTTTTTGGACAAAATATTTAACACAGGAAAATGACACAAAAAGTATTGATCCATGCACTGTAATTAAGAAGTCAGTAACCCCATACCTAAACACAGGGAAAAAGAGCTTTGGACTATCACTTTGAGCTGTTCTTTCTCCCTAAGAACACAGAGCACAATCACACAATATCCAGAACCATTTTGGAAAAGCCACCATTAAAATAAAGCTAAGAGTTCACTCCAAATATAACATCTGATGTAATGCATCCACCTCGTTCCACCTCCAGAAAGTACATATCCAGGGAATGTTCTGGTCTGCTGAAGACTCCCTCCCTGCTTATTCTTGTGTTTTCTCCCTTTATCTTCTCACAAGAGTAGGAATCTCCTTTCTTCACTCCCATTCTGCCTTTGTATCCCATGTTTATCCCTTCTTTCTCCAGCTTTTTGCTATTTCTTTCACCTTTAGTTTCTTTCCCATTTTAGCCTACCGCTTTTATCAGATGAGCTAACCTATTCTGTGCTGCATCTGTGGACAGCAAAATGACAGTTGTTGTATAAAATAAACAAGAAAACACTACTAGCTCCTTGAAGCATCGGGGTAGCCAAAAGTGTCAACAAAACTGATAGGAATTTGATCCATGTAAAGATTTCTGCATCATTCTCTGCAACTGCTTCATTTCTCTGAACACGTTTTAAAGTTATATAGTTATCTGACTGAAATTCTGCTTGGCCTGACAGTCTGAAACATTTTGTTTAATCTTCATGAAAAGAAAAATGATGCGTAGAGGGGACAGAGCCTTCTTTTCTCTTATCTATCTGCTGGAGTTTTATTAAGAAATGTTTCTTATTCTGGCCCTTGTGTAAACAAGTTACGTGGATGAAAAATACAATTTGTGTGGCACATTTCTCACACAAAACTTGAAAACCACTATTGGTACCTTCATTACAGTGAATTTAAACTTTATCTTGATACAGCACGTATTTGTCAAAGAAGGAAAAGACATTAAGATATATCACAGGTCGCCTACCTCCATTCCCAACAGTTTCAGGGCTTTTGGCTGTACAAAAAAGTTAGAAAAATGTTATTTCTCCCAGAAGGGTGATGAAAAATTACAACTATATATGTATACATACATACATACAGGCGAAGTCTGGAACGTGATGTACAACATATAATATAGAGTATATAATAGACAATATATAATATAGATAATATATATGTAAATTAATGTAATGTAATATAATATACATATATACATCAATCATATATTTACATATATATATGTAATTCAACCTTGAGTTTGACCCTATTTAATGAAAACACACAACAGAAGACATACATTTGGATTCAGGTACAAATTACAGCTGGTTTGGGGCTGTTCTAGAGGAAAAGAGATAGAATTACTGCTAAGGCATGAATGGATTTCTCTGGAGTACATCAGTATTTTGGCCATTCCCTTGGCACACTTTTATTGACTGCTGTGGAGCTGCTCTGCATATTGGTTCAGTATCTGTGAAATTGCTACTCAAATGCTTTTCTTGATGGAGTGACTAAGGGAAGGAAGTGTCTCCCAGCAGCTACAATTACTACCTTTCCTCTCAACAGTGAAGAATGAAAGTGTAAGGAAAGAAACAAACACATTTTCAGGTGTTTGGCTCTAACCGTTTCACAGAGCTGATGCTCTTTATAGCCACTTAGAACAGTATTCAATGGTGTGTATTGCTAAAATCTGAACTGAGACAGGAAATGAAAATGTGAGGTAAAAATAGGCAAAGAAAGAACTACAAATCTTACTGGGAGCAGCTGAGCAGATTTTTCTTCATGCTGGATTGGGTCGGTGACATTATGGGTGACAATAAATATCTTTTATGTTTTACAAAGATAGTAAACTTACTTTGGATTCACAGTATTGTAATCTATCAAACATGAAAACCACAAAAATACTGAATGATGCTTTTGCCATGAGCCCACTGACGCTGCTGGAGCCACAGCCAGCCAATAAAGCCAATTTTGAGTTACGGGCTTCTTTGCCCTGACACCTGCAAGCCACAGCCAAGAAGATAAGCCATGAGATAGGAAATGAGTCTATCAAAACACAAATTTTTTCAGGTCTAACTCAGGTGCCCCATGGTATTATTGGTACAGGTCAAAAGACTTGTCTTTTGAAAGCTGTGGATACTCATAATTACAGATTTTAGAGCCAGAGGAGACTGTTTCATGTCCTGGTCTCACCAGGGCAGCAGAACCCAATAATTTTTTCATTAAATTAATAAAAAATGTAGCTTGTATCAGTGGCTGGCTTGCGGTGCATTGTGGTGAAATAGCTGCTATGAACATAATGGAAATGAATCTGTAGACTGAATAGTGTGTGCATGTGGATCCCCCCAGCCTGGAACCATCTAAGAAGCTATGGTAATCCCTGCTAGTGGTGCAGTCATACAGATGGCAAATAACTTGCTCCTTACCCTCTTGGGCCCAAATAAATTGTGGTACAGTGTTCTGAACCGCTTTCGGGTGTAATTGCAGCGATATGCTCCTCCCATCAGGTACTCTATCACCAAACCAATATCAATCAGACTTATCCGATAATCAGGAGGTAAGTTTCCCTGCAATGAAAATAAGAAGGATGGTGGGGGAGGAAGAAATGCTTATTACTGGCGTTGTTAAATATACTTTATAATGATGTTAGAATAAAACAAATTAAATAGTTAAAAAACAGGAATGTATTATTATGCTGGTTAATTAATTCACCTTAAAATAGATCCAACCGAAACCTGGATATTCTCGCTTGGAAAGAAGACATAAGTTAAATAAGAAGGTGAAGGACTTGTTGGAAGTAACAGAAGATAACGTCAGTACACAGTACTCATATTCTTCAGCTGGGGAAACAAGGAACATGACTGCAGAACAAAAAGCACGAGGATCAGCACACTTGAAAGTTCAGGCACAGTTGCTGGACTCTAGTCCTGCAAGATAGCACCTTTTCTGCACCATCTATCCCCCACAACTCTTGTCCTGGCATCTCACGTCTCTGCTGGCATCCCTTTGGACTGCCTCATCTGCACTGCCAAGGCACGGTGAAGTGACATCACGCGATATCATTTGTTCACATGGAACCAGCTCCTGCATGTGATCTTCCCATTCTGCAGTGTTTCCTTCCCATGTTCCAGGAAAGGAAGTGCAGGGGAGCTATGTTATCTACTCTAGAGGACGTACACAGTGCATGAGTTATTGCTAGTTGCTAGAGGCAAGGAGAGTCTGTTAACATTTGTTCTTGGGGTTATGTACAAATAAACACATATCTTCTTTGCTTAAATTCCACACCTAGTATGAGGAAAGCATCTGTATTTATGAAAGTAAGTATGAAAGTTGTAATGAACAAAATATCTGTGGTTAATTCTTTGGGGTTTTGTTCAAGAAGAAAACTACAGGCCTAGCAATTTTCCTAGATGGTCCCTCCTTGAACTCCCAACATATTTTACTGAAAGCCTCTCTAAGCACAGTAATCTTGCTACCTAATTTCCAGCAGTGCCAGCGAGATTGTCTCCCAAGAGGTGAACTGTGCTTGTGGCAAGGGTCATTAGCAGAATCCTGGAAAAGGCGTCTACATGCTTGCTCTTCCACTTCTTTTCCTTTCTTATCCTCTGTTAAATATAACATATATATATACAATGTCTTCAGCATGCATCTTTTATTTTGAAGGGAAAAAGAATGATAAATATATCCACATCTTATTGCCCTCACTTTGTGAACTCCCTTGCACATATCTTCCTTCTCTTCACTGTCAAGACTGAAAATAGCAACACTAAGGTTATGAGTCCTCCAATGCTTATGGCTTGCAAAGCTATGAAGATCTCAGTAATAGATTGTCTCTTACTGCGTATAAATCTGAGTCTGTCTTTGAGTTAACTGGGCATTTCTGTTCTCCAGTAGCAGTAAGCCTAATGCGACACCTAGCAGGCCAGAACAATTTCGGAGTGGGTTGGTCTCACGGATGTGCCGGTGAAGGCCTCTTGGGGGTCTCTGGCAATGGAAGAACAAAACCCCAGCGTGGGCACATCTGCTCTTCTGTTCCCCCCCCTGGGAATTCCACAAGGAAGACTCTGATCCATTTACAGGAGGAAAGGGCTAATGGGAAGGGAATGCCCCCAAATGAAACTTTGCCTCCTTCTCTAAATCACTGCCCCCGAATTGTTCGGATGAGAGTTTATGGTTCAGCAAGCAGTTCCCTACCAGAAAAGAAGGCATGGTTCAGCAAACTGTGAATAGGTCATCCGGATCTAGAGATCTCATTAAGAATGCTGTAGATTTACAGAACCCTGTCTGTCCTGTATGTCATTGTGCAAGACGTGACTACAAATTAAAGGTGGAAAGAAAGGTAAATTATCCTTCTGTGAACTATGAGCAGTAGCCTTGGAAAAAGAGAAAATTACTCTAGTAAAAAATTAACTTGTATAATCAACATTGCAGAAATAACAGGAAACTGTAATTGCTAGCCTCAAACTTTTTCAGTGCACTGTAATAAAATAATCACATTTTCTATAATGATATACAGCACAGCTTACAGTTAGCCTGTAGCTCTTTTTATGTGGTCATCAAAAGAAGATTAGTAATTTGCACGGAGCAAATTTTATGACTGCCATGTCTTGCTGGAAATATCTGCATGTCTGCAGATATCTGCCTGGCTTTTCTGCAGATGTGCTTATTAGATTCAGAGCAGAGAAACACTAATTGAGAGCAGATGGCAACTGGTTCTGCAGAAGAGATGAAATGGATCCAAGATCCTCCTTTCTCTTTTACTTCAGCCAGGAAGAGCAACGCTTATTTCCCTCCCTGCTCACCACGGTACAAACAGCACACTGAAAGGTTGAGGAAGGAGAGAGGGAGGTAGTGCTGTGGTGTACCATGCTTAGCAATGGGCTGGGATTCAAAGGGACAGAAGATCAAACAAATTTAGTGGCAAAAGGTGAGCTGCCAACTATCTTTCAGTAATGTCCCTTAGCATATCCTTTTGCACTCTTCCTACTCTTGGCTAATCTGATGGGCAGGGGAATCACTATGGTTTGCAGGAATGCATATTAGCTTAGCTTATTTGAACGCAGTCATTTTTATTCTGAACTGTTTAAAGAAAAATAACGTAAGTCTAAAAATTAAATCCTGCTAGGATTTTTTTTTTGTTTTGTTTATTTGCTTGTTTTTTCCCCAAAATGTTCTTCTCTCTCCAGAATTCTTAAAGCAATGACAGTTTTACTAGAACAAGAATGAAGGCACTGGCAGAAGTGGGAGTTGTAGCTCCAAGACAGAGTTGTAGTTCTTCAACAGATTCCTGCTGTCTTAATGTAAGACACTAAAACTGAATGCTTTGATATTATTAAGTGGCAAAAATTATTTGAGCAATTAAGAAAGCACAACAGGCACCAGGGTGCTGCATGTGTTAGAAAGCATGAGTTTCTTGATACAGTTCTTCTGATTTCTAAAATTTCATAAAGGGATTTAGATAAAAATTTTCCAATAGAGTAACTTTAATAAGAGATGCATCTAAACCTCCCAGATAATATTGAAACACTTCACTAAAAAAACCTCACAAATTCACAGCAGAAATACACATTTTATAGATGTACACATATGTATGGCTCCATGCTATCACACAATTACTTTTCCAAAGTGAGCAGCCCTAGTAAAGCCAATTGGACCATCCTTCTGAGAGCAGTTATGCATGTGCCAAAGCATTTGCCGTATCAGCAGACACCTTGAACCACCCTGGCAGCGGTGATTCTGCTTGTCAGTGAAGCACAGTGGTGCAAGTGGGCCAGAACCCCTCCAAGAACAGCAAAAATTTGGGTAGGCTAATTCTAGTACAGCCAAGGTGTTCAGGACTGACAGAGGAGAAGGTTTGATTTTGGGGTATGATAGGTACCCCAGTTAATAATCAACTAGCCTTTCCATGTCGGGACAAACTCTTCAGTGCTAATGCATTATTCTTTTCCTGAAGAAACTTCAACTTTAAACTGTAACAAATCAATTATAGTATTTTTTCACTTTAAGTGAATTTTTATACTCAGCAGGTACCAAGCTTAAAATTACCAAGAAAAATTATTTCACCACAGAGTGGGATTAAGATGTATTGTTTATATAAAATTTTGGATTAAAGAAAAAATTAATCTGCTAATTTCTACTGATCTTCATTAGCTAGTTGAGCTAGGGAAGGATTTTTTAAAAACAGCCTGTAGAGGGCAACCCCCACTTACAGACAGGATGTCAAGCACGGCCACTCTTTCTTCCTGCTTAGTCTGTATGCATCGGTTTGTACGGTCTAGGGAAGGGAGTCAACCTGTTGTTAAATCCTGTACCCTTGACAGGAGATGTCAAAAAGGCCATGACGCAAACGATGCAGGCAGATTTGTCCCTGTATGTAGTTATGGAATTGAGAGGATCGAAAAGAGAGATGAACACAGTTGTCTCTAAAGCAGAGTCATTAGGAAGTACTTTGTCTTGTTAATATATGCAGAATTTAAGCGTGCTCTGATTATTGTAAATTCTTTAAGACTGTGTCTCCAGGCCTTTACAATATGCTGCCCAGGCTAACAGTCTTCACAGCGATATTTGGAAATCCAAAGAGAAAATACATTGTTGCCTTATATGTTTGTGCATGTGTGTGTGCACGCACACATGTGCATCTGTAAGCTGCCACAAACAGGATGTGGTAATGTGACTTCTGTTGTTTGAATTCTTTGCTGTATTAAGCAGGCAGGGTGGTCTTTCAAACAAAAACACCCCTCCTAGAGATTTATACAGCTGTGTAATTCAATAGTAGTAAATTAAATAATGCTTCTATGATTTGTAAGCATCCATTTTCTATTTGAGAATGCACAATGATGCAGATGTAAATAACTTTCTATAGCATACACCCTTTTAAATAGTGCAGGTTTTAAAATTGGGATGTATGCGTAAAAAGCACAGAGTATGCATATCCCTTAAGTGTTGTCTCAAGTGACATACTACATTTTTTGTACTTATATTTTGTGATACTGTAATTAAATCTGAGAGGTTAGGTATCTGGCATCAAAACATATATAAACTCAAAAAACTAACATCAGCAGCGTGGTCTGGTTTTCATGCACGGTGGGCCACTTAACTGTCAAATAGTGATGTCCGTTAAGAAGTTACTTCCAAGGAGGTGTTTTCATTTAAACTGTTGTCAGATCTGCTGACTGATTTACGGCTTGGTTGACCGGTAAGGGATCTGCTCAGATGGCAGGGCTATGGCAAGGTGTCACTTTTCTCTGAGTGAACCACAGTTGTTCCTCATCACTGACAAAATGAGAAATACACCCCCAGAGGTGCAGTTTTCTGATGAAGGTGCCAGAGGCCTTCATCAGGCTGTTTTTAAAGCCCTTAACTACTGGGCTTTAACTACACATTGACTTCATGTAGTGGGAATTACTGGAGACTTTAGATATGGATAGGGGAAAGAAAGATGAATTTATGGAAAAATGACCATCGCCTAAAATTTAGCAATCACCACGGAACAAATAATGTCATTAAATATGGTGTAAGTTTATTTAATGGCAATGTCTATCAATATATACTTATGAGTACTGATTGTCTTCGCCTATTTTGATGCCTTTTTTTCAAGAGCTCCTTTAAAAATACAACTTTTGTTAGGGACTCAGAAAAAGTTATTGATATTATTTAGTCACTCAACATACAAATTGCTATGCCTTTGAAGGAGGACTTGGAAAGGAGATGCTGGGGGAGAGAAGGAGTTTGGAAACGATTATATTTTATAGTAAGAAGACAGATTATGCTTGTTTCAAGCTCTTATAGGCACATAAATAACTGCATATTTAGTAAAAAAATATTCTAGTAACTTGGGCTTCAAGAGAAGTAGCCAGTCTAAATGTGTTCTAGCTTTAGTCTGCTCCATCCAAGGGGATTTGTGCATAAGAACAGTTTAGTTTCTTCTGTAGGCATTTCACACTTTCCAGTGGTCACTTAATATGCTATATATAATTGAACAATGAAGATGCCATGTAACACACTAACCAAAGAAAGCCACCAGAACTGCCCTAAACATAACTACTGATTATTCTGTAGCATTATTTAACAGAAAGACGATATATGAAGCATTGCCACTCCCCTCCCCTAGTTGTCTTTGGTTCTGCTTAGCTGTCAGTGACAGAAGAAACCACCAAAACCTGTGCTCTTACAAAAAAAATCTCCATTCCTTTTTCAATCTTTTATCTAGTCCCATGTACAGAAATCTCCTTTCTCAAGTATGCTACCCTTGAGGTCCGACTTACATAATGTACAAAGTTGTAATCTGCACATGCTTTGGGACAATATTCAAGTTGATGAGGTCGGTTGCAGACTCAATCTCCTTACTTGATCCATATATTTAGAGGATAAGGGATTTTCATTCATTGCTGCTGCTGTAACACTTTTAATCCTGAACACATTGCTGAAGGTGTTTGGTATCTCCTTCCTGTCACTATACTTTTCTGTGTTTCTGTCCTGCCCTCCTAATGGCTCTTTGTAATTCAAGATGCTTGAAATTAACTTGATAAGGGGTCAGGGGAAAGTTGCACTACTTCTTTTTGTATATTTCTGCTGAGGAAGATGGCTACAATATACCACACAACACAGAACGAGGAACTGTTTCTAACAAACTACGATCCAGCACAAGGATAAGGGCTATTTTACAGGCTCGGAAGTAAACTAACAACATGGAAATTAGCTTTGACAATAGTTGCAGGTATGGAAAAATACAGATAACAGCATAAACCCACATGGTATGTAAGAGCCTACAATTATGCTAGCAGAAGCACTATTACCCAAGCATTTAAAACCACAGAGAAAGCAAGCCAAATAACTTGCTAATTGTCCTTTGTATGCAAAAAGTTCATATTCGGTACATACAAACAGGACATTCTGTAATGGCAGGGGAAGGAGAAGGCTCTGACTGAAAGCTCATGCAAAACAGAGATTGTGTCTAGCTACAAAAAGCAATCACAGCATTATCTCCAACCTACCGTCTATTTGACTCTTACCTTTTTGACGTCCCTGACTAGATGGTACAGAGTGTTGGATGGTCCATGTCTCTGCAAAGGACAAATAAAGAAGAATAAAATAGTTTTGCATTGTCCAAAGACCTGCAAGGTGTAAATGCTGAAATGGCTTTCTCGCCTTAGTAGTTTAAAAATCAGGCAGCTGAGAGCACTTCAAGTGTACAGTGTTGTCAATTAAAAAAAATAAAATCAATTACAAGAGCATTATTTCACCTGAATTCTCTTTTGTGCAAAACCCTTCAGTAAGAAAACCACAAGAACTGCCATACTGGATGAAAATGAAAGTCCTATATATCAGATTAGGCTCCTGGCTTAGGGAAAGCAGGAGCCCAGCACAACGTGCACAGCCTCTGGGAGAGAGTGGAAGGAAAAACAGCTGCTTAAGTGTCAGCCTTCCTGCACTCAGGATCTCCACTTCGACCGCTGGTGGCTCAGAGAGCCCCTGAGCCTGACATTGCATCTAGGCTGTCTTGACTGAAAGCCACACAGTCTGTGAATTTGTCCAATCTTCTTTTGACTCCACCTGACATGCAAAACATTCTGCAGCAGAATCCCACAATTTCAATTATATGTTATGTGGAGAAGTACTTTCTTTGCTGTTGTGTTTTTGACTGTTGCTGATATTTAAGAGACTTTTATGGAAGGTCTCCCTGGCTGTAACTGCTGATAGATGAGACCACTGCATGTGTGCAGAGTGAGTGTTTCCATATATACATTGCTCTGCACTTGCAAACACTTAATTTTATGTGACCCCATCACTAAGCATGATGAGACTTTCCTGTGATTCTTCATATGCTGCTTCAGATTTGCCTACCCTGAGTGATGCTAAATCACCTGCAAGCACTGTCCCTTCAGTAGTTACTATTTTTCAGATCACCTCTAAACAGGCTGAACAGCAGTGGTCCCAGGACAGGGTCTTGGATGACCCTGGTCATAGTGTCCTTTTGTGGTGAGAACAGACCATGTATTCCTACTTTCTGTTTTCTATCCTTCAAGTAGTTTTTAAACCACAAGTGCCCCTTGTCTTCTATGCCATGACAGCTAAATTTCTTTAATAACCTTTGAGGTTTTCAAATATTGTCAAACAGGTTTTGCAAAAACAGGTGGACCAAGTGCAATGTCCTTATTCTTCTGCATGTTGACTTCAGAAATGGTAAGGCTTAACATTTTTCTACAGAAGCTGGGTAAACTCTTTCTTGACATAAAATTGATCCACTTGTCTATTAATTCTATTCTTTAATGTATTTTTACAAATTTGCCATGGCAGAAGTCAGATTCACTCGTTTGTAGCTTCCCAGGTCACTCTCAGGGCTCATGTTGAAATTTGGTATTTTTTTGACTGGCCTTGTAATTTTTTGGGCGCTAAGGCTATTATGGATGCATTAGGTCATATAACATAATTGGTAGTTTAGGCATTTCACAGCCTGGGTCTTTTGGAACTCTTGCATGAATAATTTATGGTGATTTCTATAGCTCACAATAAATTTGTTCCAAAAGACCTTGTTTTAGCTGTAGAACTGAATACTTTCCTCAAACTTTCTCCCTGTAAAAACTGGCTTTGGTACAAGAACTATAACGCTTATCTCTGTAGCAAGAAATCTCATAGGCTTTCTGTTCTTAATACATAGACGCTAGTGGATAGGCAAAGTTTAAGCTGATCAAAGGTCAGATGCGAAACTGTCTCAAGGGTGGCACAGATACCTGTTCCTCTATATTTTGTACAAATTTAATGAATTATTTTCATATTTGATATTTTTGAAAGACTGACTTCTGGTCACCATCAGTGTGAAAAACCTCTGGATAACAGCCCAGTGTGGCAGCTTATGATGGCAGAGCTTTGAAAAGTATTGGGAGAAAAAAACTTTTTGAAAAGGGCTATGCACTATACCATGACCTCTCTCCAACAGACAGAACTAGCAATCCTAAGAACTAGACAATGCTTTAAGATTTTTTCCATACCAGTTAAGCACTTTGAACTTATTGGTTTCTCTCGGTAGGCAATAATGATGTGAATGCTGGAATGTGTTTTGCAGTTAAGAACTCAGAAGCAATATGAACCTGTGCAGTTTTATGTTCATTTTAAGGGCAAAGATATAAAACTTGCAAACAGGCTTTTAAAAGTCAAAACTATCATTTTTGGAACATTTGGTGAGGATGTGGGGAAGTCCTTCACTGTAATAGACCTCCTGAAATCATCAGATTTCACCTTTAAATTCAGAAAATTATCCCAAGAAGTTTGCTTCTATTTGTGTTCTAGTGGCTGAGTTTGATTAACAGTTGCAAGATTTTTCTGAAACTGTAAGAGCTTATACTGTCAGGAGTCATGTATCACCATCCTACAGGTCCTAACTTTCCAGTTACTGTCTTCCAGTCAGTGCCATCAGCCTAAATCTCAGGTCTATCATATTGGAATTACAATGACCAGAAGTCAGCTGGTACTGTGGGAGTCTTAATCCATGTCTTACAAAATCTGTACAGCAGATTAGGTGGGCAAGACACAGTGTGTTCCATTATATGAGGCAAAGCTAAAGAGACAATGTGGACTTCTAACATGGAAAATTTCCGCAGCAGGTGTTGGCTGCCTTGGGCACCATCATGTCGTTGCAATAAGAGTGGAAGCTAGAACAATGAATATAGAGATAGAAAATTTGCCTTAGGTTGGCCCTACCGTGTTGTACAATTCCTCTAGCCGGGAGATGGTGAGAAAACGATGCATGCTTACTCCATTTTCTATGAGTAATTTCACAAAATCCACTCTGTCCAACACCAGTGCATCCAGCATTGCTTGCTCAAGGGAGCCCACCTGCAAAGCAAGCGATTAATTCAGGCCATTCCTGGGTATCACAGGCTGTATCCGGGTGGTCCGGTCACCCTGGCACAAGCAGGGAGTCCTGACAAAATTCTGAGGGTTGCTCTGCTAAACTTAAAATGGGATAATCACAGTTTTAGTCTATATTGGTTTCTCTGACTCAGGGCAGCATTTCAAAAATGAATGTCAGAGTGTTAAGATTAACATACTCTAGGAAATCCAGATTAGGACCAAGGAACTGGAACCCAGGAAACTGGTGACCACACTTCCACACTATTCACCATCTCATTATTAACTTTATTCCTCACTTTCCTGACAAACATTTTATTTATATTGGGTATATTTGTCATGTGCACACACACTCACTTTAATTCTGTCTTTACTAGCTTTTTCCTCTGCTCGTGGTGTGGAAACTCAGGGAAACTTGGACACCCAGGAAGCAGAAATAACTTCACAGTTAGCATTTCTTTGAAGTGTCAAATGCAAGAGGTCTTCTTACGAAAACCTCTCCTTTTCTATCTCTGCAGGTTGGGGGGAGTTAGAAGGATGAGAAATTATCTCATACTTCCAGCTTTTATTTACCTTGCAAAATGATTGCAGCTTGCAGCATTTATGCAAATTTTTGCTATGATGTGGTGATGGAGCGATAACAATAAGGACAGTTTAATACCATTAAAATCCCTCCTATGTTTTGATGCGTACTTATGGCCAATATTGAAGACAAGATAAATAGTCCTGTTCACTCCATAACTGAACAGGCAAGGATTTTTGAAACTAGCTTTAAGGGGCAGCAAGCTCCAGAAACTACATTTAAAAAGGATATTTAAACAGAAGCTTTTCCTCTTGTTATAATTTTTCCATGGGGAGTTGTAAATGCCCATGTAATGATAGCATATGAAATTTTCATGACAGTGACAAAACAAGTGTCACAGTAATGAATATTGTGATCCAATTAAACCTTCTGAATGAAGATATGGTGGGCTTTAAGGAGTTACAGGTAGAGACAGAGTCCTGTTTTTTTTTCTGGGTGACCTCTACCACTGTAAAAACTGCAGCACAAGTTGGGAGTTGACTGCTCCTCCTTTGCCCCACAGAGTGTTCAATAACCACTCTGTTTACAGCCCTCCCACTCCTGCAGAGAAGCTCTGCCCATGGTGTCCCCCAGGGGAACAGTGTTAGCCAGGGAGCCTGTCCCCACAGCTGGCAGATGGAGCATATAAGATGGGGCAGATGTGAAGCAGGCAGATTGATGCAGAGCAGCACTGGGCACGAAATTAACACCAGCTCAGGTTTGGAGCCACAGCACTTCTGTGGTAACATTACTGATCAGCTCTCGTGGTCCACTTCATGACCTCCAACATTTGTGCAGCCTATTTTTGATGTCCGACCATCATCAAATTCAGTGTTTGTATATAAAAGCATATTGCTTGAAAAGCAAAAAGAAGTTTTGCCTTTCCTTTAATTTATACCCTAACAATGTAACATGGCTGTAAACAGATACTTGTTTTTCTCACGTGGCAGAATCATTGCTTGATAGTATAAATGTGTTGCTTCCCGTTTCTTTAAAGGTGTGGTCTCTCAGTGTCAAGGCATCACTAGATGTCACCATTTCCTTGAACAAGGGGACATATTAACATCTTTGTAACCGTGCCTGCCTTCAGTAGCTGTGAATGGGAACTTTGTGTTTGGCTGGGAGCATGACTCAGTATATTTTAAACTGTGCTAAAACCACCCCTGCCAACAGTATGGATTTAATGTTGTGTAGGGTTTAAAGTGTTTTCAGTAGAAGATGCAGCATATATACTGTACCGGCCACTGTTGCCCGTAAATAAAGATTTGACTGCGGGCGATGTCTACTCTGTTCCAGGCTAATGCTAGGCTCAGCTGGTCGGGAGCAGATGCGTTAGCTCCTGTGTATACAGACAGGGGTGCAGGGAGGAGAGGAGGAGAAAGAAGAAACAAGACATACTTTAGACTCAGTCGACAGACCACCATGGTAATTTCTCTTTGTCAAAAGTCTCACAGATGTCCATGTCATTTCTGCAACGGATCTCATATTAAAACAAAACCAAACCTTCCATTGTTCCTGTAATAAAATACTGGTTCTCAAATCTGAATCTATGGTTCTCAGATTGTCTCATAAGCATTAAGCATTTCCTCACACCCTCCTTGAAAAATACAGTAGGTACATGCAATATCGGCAGATGCAACTTGTGGTGGAGTGAACTGGTTTCCTTCCTCTCGGACAGGAAGCAAGAGCAGAAGCCAGGAGGGATACTGATCCTGCTGCAGGAATACGCACACACACACACGTATGCACACAAGCGCGCACATATACGCACACATACATCTAGCAATTACAAACAGGTTCAACTCAGACAGACCACACCAATCTCAATAGTCGTGCATTTTATGCACATCTTTTATGCATTCCCACCTGATAAGGTGGGGATCCTGTACAAGCACAGGAATTTCTCCTCTATCTATTTGTACTGAGGGGCCTTGGTGGGACAAATTTCCCTTCACACATGCAATATTTGTGTAAGAAAGCATGCTATAAAGCTGGTGTCAAGGTATAATATATCTGAATTAAACAAGAAACTATGCAGATGATAAGATGGGATTGGAGCTGTTTGTTTTTTGGAAGGGAGGGTGTGTTTTTCCCTGTAGTTTTAATGAACGCTGTGGGACATTCCTGCCCTGCTGTGCTTTTTTAATACTTCACTAAGGATTTCATGGTTATTAGCTGATTTGTAATAATAAAACAGTATTTGTGCTTCAGTGTCACAGGGAGAACTGGCCTGAATGAACTGATCAACCAAATAAATAAAAGGCCCTTCAACTTTTAACTACATAGCTGCTTGCAATGATTAGGTGATTGTATAAAGGATCATTTTTTAAAGGCCTCATACCTCCACTGTTTTCTTGTCGTTATTAATTCTTATACTGATATCATGCAGTGAGGACAAACAAGAGTTTTTCATTACTTCAAAGCATTTCTGTCCCCATTTCAGTACTATTCATAATCATGCACTGTTCCAGCTGAAAGTGGACTCTGAAATTGAAGGCACGGAAAACATAAAGCGTAACATGCTGGCCGCTGAAATTCTCTGTAAAATATCAGTTCAGCAGACCTTTGGGAAGCTTAGCCTACAGTTTAATTTCATAACTCTCAACTTTGCAGTTAGTTCACTGCCATGAAACTTTGCCAAATACTTGGCAATATATACAGCAATTATTTGGGAGGTGGTGGACTGTAGATCATCCAGATCACTTTCATTTTATTACAGAAATGAGGTCTGATAGAAAGGTAGGTGATGCAGGAGCAGAACACTAAAAAGAAATGAAGAAAAGAAGAAGAAACAGTGAAAACAGTAAAAGACCTTTCTGTGACTAAGAAGTAACAGGAACCCCTTTGCATAAGACACAGCTTCTCATCGCTGTATACTGCAACACAGACAAAAGCTCTCACAAGAGACGTCATGGGGGATGCCAACGACATCTGAACCTTTCTGAGCTTCTTACACAAGCAACATGCAACATTCAAGAGCAGAAGACATTTACCTTCATCAAGGGCAAAAATGTCTCTACAGTTTTACTTTTAAAACCAGGAAAAAACTACCCGCAGTGGGAATGATAGTGTAAATTAAGTACAGAGAGCAAATAATGTTCTCCCCCTTTCTGAAGCAAACAACAGATCCTCTCAAAATGTCATTAGATCTCCTCCTTCCCATCCGTGTGCCCGCAGGAGAAGCGGGAGCTTCAGCAGGTGCTCAGGCAAGCTGTCTGGTGAGCAGTAGAGGAGGCACAAGGGTGAACTCCAAAACCCAGGGGCAGTGATGGCGATCCCACAGCCTGGCACCATCTTGCACATGTGATGGGGGAGCTCCACCTCCTGATTTTCCTAAACTGACTGCAGCCTACAGTCTGGGTAGCCGGAGGTGCAGCCTGCTTAGAAACCATTTTGGATCAAGAGTGGATCAGATGGTCTTGGGGAAGTGGGCTACTTATGCTGCCCCCACTTCAGCCAAAACTCAAGCCAAATCATAGAGGCTCCAGGTGAACACCTTCTGACCCCTAGCAGGGAGCTAGGGGTTTCCCAGTTTGTGTTGAGTGACCTAGCATTCCTGGGCCTTTTCATGCTTTAGGAAGAACCTGGCTGCTGGATGAACACAGGGCCTTCTGGTACATCTGATCACATGAAAAAGCAACTGCATGGGGTGATGGCTGCATCTCCAGAAAGGCCCCCAAGCCCAACAGTTCATCAGAATTGTTTTCTTTGAGCATGCTTATTTCTCTAAAGACTGAGCAGAGGGGAAAGCAAGCCATACTCCAGCCTCTGTCTTTCCCACCTCCCTCCATGGTGTTTAAGGCTTCTAGCAGTGGACAAGTTTTCCTGTTGGTGCATGTGCAGTCCCAGAGATGATGCTCTTCTCAGTGCTTGTTACCATAAAGGTTCATTTCATTGTCTTGCAGAGTGCTGCAGACATTTGGCAGTTGAAGGAAATGTATGGTTTCTCAAGGGGTTTTTCTACTTCAGGTCCAAACCAGTCCATCAGCTAGGGTGTAGACTGGGCAGTACAGGTCTGCATGCTGGGGCTCTGACACACCTGGTGGGGTGGCTGCTCCCAGAGTGAGGTTTGTTGCTGGAAAGCCCGTGCACCCTTCTCCTCTTTCCTGTCTTCCCTATGTGGTTTTCAGGTGAATGTGGATTACACTGGTCTTACATAAGAGAAGGAAAATAAAAACTATAAAAATTTGTACAGGGCAGCATATGGGCTGCAGACGCTGTTTAATTGATTTTATTCCAGGATGGACTGATGACTTTTGACTCAAATGAAAAAGAAAGTATTCAGGCTATTTCAGGTGGAAATCTATCCAGTATTAAGAAGTAAATATAATTCTACTAATATAAGAAAAACTCCCTAGAACAGATGTGAGTTGAGCTTTCTTAAGACACTGTCTCCTTTCAATCATTTCCTTGATTGCATTTGGTGCCACAAAACATGGATTTGAGTCAGTAAGAAGAATCCAAAAAGTGACTTGTCTGAGGACTCATCTTGCTCATGAGCATCACTGCAATGTACTCAAATCAAAGCTGAAGGATATTTGGGAAATCAAAAAACAAGGTAGAGTTAATAACCTACTGCTCTCATCAACTCAATACAGGGATCACACTGGAACTACTTCTTAGGCCCTTAACACTGTCAGTGGTGAGAAATTAGCATTTCCTCTCCCTACATTTCTGTTTCATGCTGTCTCATGGAAAGATTATCTGCTTAGTTGTGTAGTATTATTTTAATTACTGTAGTATACTTACTGCTTTAAATAGTGTTTTAGGTGATATGACTAATGTCTATGTAAAATTTACTCAGTATCCTGGTGTCTGACTGAGTATAAGATATGTTCCTCAAAAGAACGTTTTAAGACAATATGACTAATGTCTGCAGTGGGACTCTTCCCTTCATCTGCTCCTAGAAGAAAAGTTGCATTTGGGATGCAATGCATTGATTTGGCAGTATTTTATTTCAGTATAGATATTGCTGGATATAGATAGACAATGCAAGGATAGTGCGAAGTTGAATGAACAACAAGGAGATCTGGGACAGCTGTTAGTTCCTGCAGGTGTTAACTTTATGCTCTTAGGTGGCCATCCGGGAGTGCTTGGATATCTTGCATAGATTCTTCTGGTAAAAGGTAGATGGTCTATCCAATATCTTGGACCAAAAATGCAATACTCCTTGATGATAAAGCCTGGGACCATAAACTTGACTCTGTATCCTAGGTGAGCCAGCGTACATGTCAGACAATGAGTGTTGTGCCCTTGCAGGATCCCAGATTACTGAAGAGATAGACTACAGGTTTTTATATACTAGCTAAAGTTTACTGTGACCAATGTAAACCTCTAAAGGATTCTCCTGGGATAGTCTATGATACTTAGTGCTCAGGAATCTGGAAAGCTGAAATGACACAAAACTGATCTATCTAGACAGAAATGGTTGTTGGAGACTCATTTCCACAGTGCTTCTAAGCATGTCAGTGTCCTCTTTGAATCATCATTTAAAGAAAAGAATTACATTAGGGAAAATAGCAATCCAAATTAACTTTCTGCTCTGCATCTCAGCAGGTCTTATGTTGTCTTCTGTTTCAGCAGCTCTTTGATGAAAAGGCTGTGTTTCCACTGCATTTGCTACAAGCATTTTCCTGGCATTTAGCAAATCAATTGACAATAACAAAGCTGATAGCATCAACAACTATAAGGGCAGTAATCAGATATCTGGCCTAAGTCTGAAATCCTTCTGTGTCAGTGATTTCATGGTTGGCAGACCATCACACTGTCTTCCAGGCCCATCTGATACTACATGATGGCTGTTCAGTGAGCATGAATCATGACTTATTCACAGGCTGGAAAGTATGCAGAGACATCAGATCTGCATTAGCCTAACATGGCTTATCTCAGAGGGTTACATGGCAGTAATATTACGATATGTATATACCACACAGCACCTCTTTCCCAGTGCTAACAATTGCACTGGGAAGGCTTCTGGAGCACCAGCTGAAATATGGCTGGTGCTGCTAGTATGCTCCAGACATTGCAACAGCTTCGTGAACTAGGATCTTCGATGCCACTTCAAAACAATTATATTTTAGATCATCTCCATATGCTGTCTCTAACTTCCCTGTCATATGCCTTCTGCTCAATTAGCAGCTGCAAAAGGACAAAATCCGTTACTGTTTGAGTTCCAACTGTTCGAGTTAAGAGAGCACAAACAGTTAAACTGTATCAATAAATTCACTTGCTACAAATTCATGCAATTGGAAACTTACTTCCTACATTTGCATGTCTCTTGAAATTAAAAAAAAAAGGAATTCACAAGCCATATGCTGTTGTGACATCCATGCAATGTAAATTGATAACCAGTTTGGATGCCATTCCCTAGTTTATTGGAGATCACTTCCAAGAAAGATAGATCTGCTGACAAGATTAAACAAGTGACTCATGAAAACAAACAAGGAAATAATCTCTCGTGTTCAGTGCAGGGTTTGGGGCTTGTGGAATATCCCGTCCAGGAGAGTTCCTGCATTGGCAGCGTGCCTGATGCGGGTTTAAAAGGAGACGAGCTCATCGCAAGTTTTGCACAGCGAGCAGAAAAGGATACTTTGTATCATACGCGGTATGTGTCTTGAGTACCGGCTAGCAAGAACTGCAAAATCCCCATCGGTGAGACCGAGCAAAAGTAACCAGTAATTACTCACCAGTTTCATGCTTGTCTCTGCCGCCTTTTCACACAGCGCTGAAGAGAGGCAAGAGATTAATTCCTGAACCTAAACTCACGAATTTCAAGATAATTCAGACCCAGTCTTCAAATCTGCTTACTAGTAAATCAATAGACAAGTGGTTCAGCACCGCTACCTTAGATTTCTCTGTTCGATGAAAAACCCAAATATCCGTCAGCCTGATGGGGTATATTTACAGAAAGGCAGCATTTCTTTCAGGGTGGGCCAGAACCTTTGCACAAAGACATGGTATGAATAAGGACAACTGACTTGCCTGAGACAAGAGATCTCATCTTTGCACACATTGATTAAAAAGTTATATGGACTTTCATTCCTTGTGATCAGAAAGCTCAGATTAAGAAGCATCATCTAATAAATCTAATCTTCATTGGGGACCTTCATAATCAGAAAGCGCTGAGAAGCGGGGAAGATGAGGTGTAAGTTTTAGTTCCTCTGGCTCTTGAGGAAGACACAAGTGCTGCTGCCATCAGCAGATTACCAAATCAAGATTGTCAGGCAAGCATGAAAGGAGATGTCAAAATTACTTACACAGATCCAGGCACCTTCTGAGCTAACGGAAGTTCACTGCGATGTCTTGCACTACTATTATGAAGAGGGAAGGTAATTTTATTTTACTAAGGAGATGACAGGACCAAATAGGCACTTGCAAAATGGATATTCCAGATCAGAGAGGACTACTCGTATACCCAGAGTGCAACCATAGTACAGTTGCTCATGTAAATACTGCAGAATAACTTTTCAAATGGAAAACAATCCCTCCCAGGCCTGTGATTTATTTTCCTCAGCTTCCAAGAGGCAGATTTCAAGGTGATAAAAGACTCCAGGGATCTATGTTGGGATTTAGACCTTGAAAATATACCTAGAAAAAGTGGAATCGCAACTTTAAGACAATCTGTATCTTACTAATAGAAACCAAGAACAATAGTTTCAGTGATTGTCTTAAGAACAAATGTGAAGAGAATACACTTTACACTGAGGATAATGAAGGATCCAGTCATATTTAAGGTAAAAATGAAATCTGCAATTAAAATATTTCCTAAGGATAGAAAAGAGGAATTTGGTGGTGGATGCAATTCTTCTTCCTTGCTTTGAATTAATTCCTTTTTCCTTTCTTCACCTTGATTTATATTGTTTCTGTGTGAAGATGGCCAAAATGCCTTGAGATTTAATCATGCAGATGGCTAAAACTTGTTACCTCAGGGTAGCAGCAAAATAGTCATGTTACCTGCAGGACAAACAACTGGTATCTTGATTGAAATGAGCAAAAGAAGTGGAGAAAGCAATACTACAGAAGCCTAAAGAAACAAAAGCTACTGGAGCAAAATAATTCCAGCTCATTTCCTTGGCTGGTAGCTATCGGCTTGCAATCATACTTTTGAAGTGGCCAGTGCTTGTTTACTCCTCCTGTTCAGACTTTTGTTTTAAATGTTTGAAGTAACATTTTTGAAATGGGATTAATAATTGCGTAAAAGGTAAAATACTATTTTGCTTGGTCAGGTGAAGGTTACCCAGGCCTTCTCCCTTTTCTCTTCATACAGCTTTTGTGAGCCTGCACAGGAAGAAACTGAGATGAAAACTGATCCCTGGAACAAGCAAGAGTGATTCCCATTACCTTTTGAATACCCAGTAAATCTATTAAATTTTTTGTTATGATTCAAATTCAGGTCTGCCACATGACAGTGTGTACACTTTTATTCAGTTATGTGTGTGTGTGTGTGTGGCAATAGCATGATGACAACTGCTAAAGAGCCTCATGAAGCATAACTTTTCCCAGTCAGCTTTGGAAGTCCATACTCTAATGTTTCTCAGATTGCTCTTTAAAATTGTTTGGTATGTCTTATTATCTGTTTTTAAAATCAGTATGACCTGTACTACATAACACAAAACAGTCCAGACAGCAACAAGGTGACCGTGGTGATTGATACATGCAATTTGTGAAAAACCCATTTGGGGAAATAGCATATAAATGGAGGACTAAAACCTCCCAACCCTTGGGTGAGTAATCCTTCATCAGGTAAGTACATGTGCTTCAGAGCCTTTACAATCTCACCTGTTTCTGTATTTGCAAGCAGATATTAAATTACCTGATAATATCATATTTTGAAGGGAGATAAGCTAAATGGTGTGTCTGCAAGACCAGGGTTTATAATGAACTGTAGCAACAGCAGATTTACTGTAAGACAATCTTTTAAGAGCATAAGTGTAACATGCAATGGCTTAGAAAGATTTATCGACCTGTGAAGTTTAAGATTAAAACCCCTACCACCCCAATAGTTGAGTTCTTAGCTCTACCAGTGGAGGCTGGAAGGAATCCCACACAGTTCCCAGGCTTTCCTAGGATGACTACAGATAACATTTTACTTTCACAGTAGTGCCAGTTTTATCTAAAGGGAGATAACCTCCTTCTGGATGTTCTACTAGCCACCAAGGCGATCTAAGTCTGAGAAGTTCTTTGGCTGTCTTCTTGTGAGTATTAATCTTCTCAAGTAACCGGTGGGCGGTCACCATTGATGTTTCTTGTGATGCATTAGTGATTGTGGGTGGAGAATAAAAATTCAGAAAGGAAAAACAGTAGCTATTTAAGCATTAAAGAAAGATCTGTATTTGTATAAAGCAGTTAGAGCAAAAAGCATACTTCAATTTCAAGGTATAAATTTACCATCTCAATACCATATATATTGTCAATAAATGCAGTTTTCAACACAGTGGAGACCCAGAGTTAATCCATTTGTACTGATACAGACTCACTGTGGAGTGAAACTCTATTAGCTTTTAGTAATGCTGTCAGGATAGCTAAATCAATATCCTGGTGTCCTTCTGATCCCATGCGAAATACTGTGATCTGAAATGTTAAAAGACAACACCATTATTGAAACCTGGGTAATTTTTTAAAAATGAAATTAAATCAGGGCAGCATCATTTGGATCTAAAAATGTCCTGATGGCTACAAGATGATCTTACTTTATATATTTTATGAGAAGCTTATTAAATAGGATTAACACACAGTATTTTTTGTGAGATAAATTTTGCTAAAGATAGAAATTGTATTAATGAACATATGGAAGAAAAGTCTTCAGTGATACAGGGTGAAATTAGAGATGAAGGAATGTTCTTGTATTAGAGTAACATTAGATTTAGTGTTCCCAACACATTACTAGGAGGAATTAGGTGTATTATAGGTTGTGGACCTAATTTATGGCATAAGGCATTGAAAAAATATTTTTGAGTGAAATTAGCAACCTATTCAACCTCATGATTTTATATAGCAGAAAGTTAGAGAAATAATCTGAGAATTAGACTTCTAACAGAAACATTTCTTGGCATGTGTGGTCAGTGATGTATCACTATAAGATATGAGCTTTAAGGCAGTGAAGTGAGATACACAATTCATAAAGAATAAGAATGAATTTAGTGGGGCTGTTCTTTCAAGCCAGTTTCACTCTTGGTTAAGACTGCACTGAAACGTACAGAAGTGTAAATCCCCTCACTCCTTTTGTTGCCATGGCAATAGCTGCTCTTGGGCCTTTGCTTCTTGTGAAGCAACTGAAACTGCAGCTTTTTATTAGTGCCTTTCCTTTACTAATGAAAACTATGTCACCATTTTGATCTGAATACCTGTTATCTGGTTTTCTTTTTCCTTTTGCCAGTACAGACTGCCTCAAAATTCGTTTTTTTAATTGATACCTTTAATTAGGAATTTTTTTTTTTTTTTAATTGATACCTTTAATTAGGAATTGTGTGAGCATATTTTACACTTATATTTAGCAGCATATGTTGTCCCCACCTCCCTAGACTCCTACTCATACAGCACCACTGAACTGCAGCAGCATCTGGGGTAGAGGTCAGCAAACATCAGGGCACAAAGAACAGTGTACCGTGACGCGGAAGGAGATATATAAAGTGGTCAAGGCTAAGACCACGCGTGGTGACAAGCTTCAGTTTGCTGGCTGAAATAGCCCTGCAGAGTGTATCCCAAGGAATACAGTGTAGCCCTCCTGTAGCACCTATTTTACCTTCACTTGACCCTAGAGCTCTAGGGGTTTCAAAGGGAAGTAAGAGACTTTGGCATCAGTGACAGTGAGTAGTACAGCATGTTAGAAACTGAAAAGGCAAACTGGATGAAGTAATAGGAAACTGGCTTAGCTCAATTAGTCAACTGGCTTAAATGATGCCGAAAACAATTAATGTGATAAAGCATTTATGTTGTGTCCTCCCCAGATAAAGTAGACTGTTTTCAAATTAGATCTAGTTTGACCCTTCAAAGTGTTCCTGAGACAAAGCATAAATACTGCAAATGATACTTTAATGACCTATTTTCTCTCTCCCCCTGGAATCTACAGATGTCTCTGGCAAACCACTTGATGTCTATCCCCATACTTCAACTGGATAGAATAGAATAGAATAGAATAGAATAGAATAGAATAGAATAGAATAGAATAGAATACAGTGGGAGGGACCTACAATGATCACCTAGTCCAACTGCCTGGCCACTTCAGGGCTGACCAAAAGTTAAAGCATGTTATTAAGGGCATTGTCCAAATGCCTCTTAAACACTGACAGGCATGGGGCATCGACCACCTCTCTAGGAAACCTGTTCCAGGTTTTCACCACCCTCTCAGTAAAGAAATATTTCCTGATGTTTTTCCTAATATTTTTCCTAACGTTTTTCTTATCTCCTTAATGACTGGCAAGGAAGCTTTCCCTGCAGTGCAGGCAGTCTGCTCCTCTGACCTGTAGAGCACAGGTAATGTGGGTATAAATACACATTTCTATGTATGTCTCATCTCAAAACACAATAAAAATGTGAGCTGATGAGATCAGCCCCTCTACTGTACATGCTCATGATGTGCTTCCCATGCCACAGATGATGAACTGTGCCACACAGGTTAGCAGCCAGGCCGGCAGGTCAGAAGGCAGAAGGAAGAGAAAGCCTTCCTCCCTTACCCAGTGGGAAAAAGTAACATCTCCCTTCTCATGGGCAGCTCTGGCAGGTGCTGACAATAAGCGGGTGAATACAGTGTTGCCACATAACAGTCTGATCATAACATGCTCACAATGCTTTGCAATTTCCCACACAATTTTTGCAGCAACAGGCATCTCCGTAGCACTGAAGGGAAGCGTGACAGCCTGGCAAGCAGATCAGCTAATGCTGGGAATGTCTTGTTTGTGCCACTGCGCTTGGTGGCACCACTGCATGGCAAAATGCCCTTCTTCTTCTCCTCTAAGGCCAAAGGTGAAGCAGTCTGCACATCGGGGACTGAAAATACTGAACAACAGAAGTTCAGCAGAAGAACAAAATACATCTCAAACTAAACACATGCTCAGTGAACTCCCAGCTTAAGTAAAAGGCATCATATAAATTGCAAGCACTGAACAGCTTAGCACCACAGGAAAACTAAGGGAAGCACTTTGCATGTATTGGACAACATATAACCCTAAATTTCCATCTTCTTTTTCACCCCTCTTCCCTGCATGCCTCAGAAAAATAAACCCACTTCAACAGAACAAATTGCTGCTGTATTAAAAATAAAATATAACTATGTAATTTAGTTATGTTAGAATAAAAAAGCTGTCTTTCCACAGTAACTATCACTTCATTATTATTTTTAAGAGGTCTAGCATAATTCAAGTAGTAAAATAAAGAAAAGGAAGAAAAATAGTTGGGAAAAAAGACGGACTTGGAAAGAGTGCTCAGACTCATACCAGAATTACAATAATTTTGGGGGTCATGACCAAGGCTGAACAAGAATTTTAGACAGAACCAAGGCAAAATATCATACTTCATTTCAAAATGCTGCAAGTTTAGTAGCTCAAAGACTCAGCTGGTACTGTGGACTTTTGCCTGTTCTGAATGCACAAAATCTTTTAGGACGGTAAACAGATATGTTCAGCCTCTCCTTATGGTTTAGGTTAACTGTAACTATCCACAGCTGCTTTCTCTCTGGCGGATGCACTCCTCCTGTTTGAACTACCTGAGCTTTGGTCCAGGCAGATGCTTAACAAGTAGGCCTAATCAAAGTTAATCCTATTGTGTGACGTTATCAGTGAGAACTCATCACCAACGCCCCAAAAAATGGTTTGGCTAGAGACTGGGCTGATAAGCGGCTGAAACTGCATTAACACAGCAGAAAACCTGACTACAAATCAACCACTTCACACTATAAATATCTTCAGCCATCAGGGCCTTTTGAGCTCTCCCTCCATAGCAGCTGGCTGCATGGCAGTGATCTCCCCTTGAGTAGGGACGCCTCTCAAGGTTAACCCACGAGGCTGAGAGATCCCTTACCTGACACCAGACATAGATGGGTTGGTAAGCGGCATTTTTTGCATGCATGTAACATTTAAGATATGTATAGTAAGCTTATGCTATAATCTTTTTATCCCATACTAACTTTAAGTGTAGTAAATAGTAGAGTATTGACCACCAATCCCTCTGTACTTATTAAATATTTTACATACCTAAATTCACTGATTAGAACTCAATAAACTAACTACTAGATCAGATCTGTCTGAGTGATCTCTGAGTCTTCTCCTGCAACACTCTCCTGTCACAGGTCCTGAAGATGATTTCGGACAACCTGCAGCACCTTACTACTCGTACTCATGCAGGTTTTTTTGTTTTTTTCACAACCAGTCATCCTTTGAACTGTTGCCTCTCAACCTGGTGAAACAGCTTTTTATCAATCTGGACCTCACAGGCAGGTCTTTGCCCTGTCATGGTTTCCTATGGTTTTGGGAAGATCGGTTGTTTCTTCTTTCCACTATTGCTCTAAAGCTTGACCAATGTTTTTGTTTATTCACAAAGTGGAGGATTTAAAATAGGACTGCACTGTAATTAGGCGAGGATCCAACTTTGTCATACTGTTGATAAAATCTTTATCTCTGTTGATAAAATCTTAGTCCCGATCTGCAGCATTCTTCAGGTATAACTTGTTTGCCTTGTATCTTTGCCAGATGTGTGGGTTGCTTTCACTATTGGATGTCAGAAGTATTTGAGTATAGTGACATTTGCTTTTAAATGGCTAAAGGAAGATATTTCAGCACTCATGGGTCTGCAGAATGAATTTTGCAAGATGAGGCTTAAAGCTGCAGCATGCTGGCTGCTGAACCATTTGTATCATCATCACTTCTACTGTACCTGGCAAAGCCAGATCATTATCAAACCACGTAGCTGCAGCTTTTGTTCTCCTTCAGTAACTATTTATGATCCAGGGACAGGGCAGCGGGACTGGAGGAATACCGCTGCTATGTTTTGAGTCCCAGACTAGCAGCCTGTGAGGAATCCTCAGCATCTCAAGCAGACCTGTATTGCTTATCCAGTGCAGCTTTATGGTAGACTGCTGTCGTGTTTGAATGATTCATTAATGAAGAGGGCTGCGCACTCCCCCTGCCTTTTCTCACAATTTCTATTGGAAATGCATCCCCAAATGCTTCCCCCTTTTTTTTTCCTGTCACATTTAAATGTGGATAAAAAGAGAAAATAAACAAGCTTTGTAAAACACTGAGAGAGGCAGAAAAACATACAATTTGTTGTTGGATGAGATCCTAGAGTCTTGTGCTAAAGACTCTCTTGACCTTTCCAGAAAGAAAGCATGAATTTTGTTTCTGCATTTTATGAGTACGGTTATGAGGAGACAGCAATTGTTCCTAAAATGTGGATTTACTTCTTTACTTATACAGTCTTTGTAGTTTTTCCAGCATCCTTTAATTTTTGTAGTCAGAGGAGTGAGGAAATAGGGACACATCCTAAAGTATTTATGCAGACTTTACACTTAGAATTGTTCAATATCTCTAGGTCTCAGAGAACCTATCCGTCTGCCTTGCTGGAGACCTGTTCTTCTA